TTTTGTACGGGGCTTATCAGGGTTTAAGAATGATCTACCGGAGGTTGTATAACAGGGAGGCGGTGAGGATCAAGGAGTTAGATGATGCCTTTATTGACAACATTGCTAGTCAACTAATTGAGGAGGAAGATCGTGCTCGAAAAACCCGGGAGTTGTATAAGGCAAGGAAGGATCGGTGTGAACACCTGCGGTCTGTTCTCCGGGCTAAGGATGATGAAGATCAAACCTTATGTCTGGAAGAGCTCCCCAGGTTGCCAGATTGGAAACCGAGAAGGAGAGGTTGGAAGAGAATGCGATCGAGATCTAGATCTAGAGCTGGAGCGAAGCGGATCAATGTACAGCGCCAGGATTCTGCAAGACCATCAGGACAGGTATCTGCTGAAGATCATCCCAAAGACGTTCAGGAATCAGCTCTGGGTGATCAGGTAACAGAGCAGTATGCAGAAACTCGAGAAATCCGTATGATAGACCCTACTGAAGAGGTTGTGATGATCGAGATAGATTCAGATGAAGATCCTGATCTTGTAGGAATAAATGATCTGAAACCTTCATGCAGGAAGATCATGCCAGAGAAGAGAAAGAACAAGAGTAGGAAGAAAGGGAAGAGAGCTCCTACTCCAGTTAGGACATATGATGAGATCATAGAGTCTGGAACCTACAAGAACACGGACGATGAGTTTGATCTTGAGACTTATTTCTCTGGGGACATTATATAGGTGGTTCAAGGAGTGGAGACGTCCTTGGTGGAAATCTTATTTTTGATCTTTTATATCCATATGTTGAAATGTTTTATTGAGAGTCTCTAAACCATATGAGTTTTTTCACGTTGAAACCATGGAAATAGATTATTTAATCCTGATTGCATCCCAATCCATGATCGTGATCGACCATTTGTGTTCGAAACATGTACATTAAAGTTTATTTTTGATAAAGTTTTATATTGTCCTATTAATGGTCATGATTCGAGGATCACCAAATAGTACATGAAAAATACAGTTGTAAATTATAAAGAGATCATGAAGGACTATTAAAGGAATTTATGTTGTTAGTAAATATATCGTTTTCTTCTGTTAATTGTGTGCATTATTTATCCTGTCTGTCTTGTCCGTCAATATTGATCATGAAACCCAAATTAAGGTGTTTAAGTGGAATGAGACCGGACTTGAATCTCTTTATTGGTGTTTGCTATTTGGTTTTGGTTTTTTCTCTGGATACTTTCCCCGGGGGGGAGTGTTAAGTGGATTTGGTGAATCCAGGGACTGGAAGGAGTATCCGAGCAAAACCAAACCAAATAATTTTAGAGGTGGATTCAAGAAATTTCACGTAGTGCATCAGAGAGAAATAACACTCGAACGCTAGTATAAGCACCGGTTGCTCGTGGAACTTTTTTCGTCGGAGTCAAATCATTTATGTTCTTTTTTAGCGTTAGTGCTTCTTTTAGTATATTTAGTACGAGTTACGAATACCAAAAAATATTGCAAGCTATATGAGAAAGGTTATTCAAAGTCCGGCTCATTTCAGATTTATATGAAGAGATAGTTGTTGTTTTGACTGAGTCTACCGAATTTGTTCTGAGGACGGAGGAGAACTATGGTAAGAGGATAGCGAAGGGTATGGGGTTCTTCATGATCAATGTTGAATTATGTCGATGATTGGTTGGACGAAGATAGCATGTTTTAGATATATTGACGGAAATAATATGTACGCCTTTTAGTAAGTGTATTTACGTGAATTTGATGAAGTCTTTATTTTTTAAGTTTTGAACCTGAGAATCGTGATGTATTGCAGCACAATGTATGGATAGATCGTTGAGTGCAGTCCAACCGAGGTTACGAGACTTGTATCACCGGGAGCAAAGAAGGTAGAACAGATTTTTATGGGATTATTGATATTTTTTCCTTTTTTCGTCGAGTTATGACGAAACAGAAGGATAGAAAGGAAAGGAATAAATAGGAAAGATTAGAAAAGGATGAGGAGAAGGATAGAAAGGAGAAGGATATTATCGTGTACATACAATTATAAATTGATATACTTGTTTATACTTTTGGAAAGAGATAAGTAGTAGGAAAAATATTGCTTGATTGGAAAATAATAAATTTCTCTTTATTTACAATAATGATTCTTGACAAAAATTCAAAATTCAAAATTCAAATATTAAATTTCTCATTCGTGTTGGATAACCTGTACATAAAAAAACTTTTCTCTTTCAATTGCAAAACTTACTAAAATTAGGTCAAAGGATTAGATTTCTACTCCCGGGGTTTTTGTTCTCATACGCGCAGGACACGCTGTGCTTTTGCAGTTCATTTTACCACGTGCATATGTCTATCATTTGATATGCATGTACTAATTAACATAATTGCATTTTAAATTTGCCATCTGCACTCAGCAGTCTGCAGCACCGTAGAAATCAGTAGGATTTGTGGATAATGTTTCCCGTGGGTTTAAACTTTACATCACTTACTAGGTATAAAAAACTTGAGCTATGTTTAATGAATTTTTTTGTTGCCTAAAATTCTGACCGTTTTTACTTAAAATTAAATGATCCAAATCATATTTCATCAAGTAAGCGTTAAAGGGAGTGACCGGCTATGTATGGTAGTCGAACTGATTATGTAGTGTTGTGGAAAACTTCTTTCGGATTCATTTGAGATATATTAAACTTTTTAAAGATCTGTAAATCATGAGTTTGAGCGCAAATTTGTCAATAAATCAATGCAAAAATCGATTATTTCATTTTCATTATTATATTGAATTTCTTTTCTTTTTTGAATTTATTCGCAGATTTCTTCAAATTCTTCAAAAGTTGTTTTTTCAATAATAATTCTAGAAAATCTGCAGAAAATCTTTGTGAATAATGAGAAACCAGAATAATGAGAAAATAGAAACTAATAATTGAGCAAGATTACTTATTTTCGATGATAAGGTTAATTTTTATTTTCTCGACATGATCCTATGCATGACATCTGTAGTTTATTGTAGAACTTTTTTTACATTTTATGTCGTCGTTATTTAATAATTTTAAAAAATTAATTCTGAAAACGTGTCCATTCTCAAAGTAGGAGTTGTGAACATCGAATTTGCGCTCAAACTCAGGATTTACAGATCTTTAAAAAGTTAAATAACGAAATAACTAATATCTCATTTTTGAAATGCAAAGGCTAGGGTAGTTTTGTGATTTTTAATTCAAGAATTCTACCTCTAAAATTGAATTATGAATGCGGCAAATTATTTTAAAGATCAAATATGACATTAAAGTCGTCTCTTAACTGTCATGTTTCGTGGGACACCCTGTATATGCAGTGTCCATAGAATTGCGTGAAACTATAAACAATGATTCCTAAGCTGTATTTTCGATAAATGATTTGCGGAAATACATTTGGTTCAGAATTGATGATTAAAAATTAAGATCAAGAATGTATTCCGCCCCTGCCGTCATATCTCAAGAAGACGACTTGTCATTTTTTAATATTCAAGAAATTTGTTTTTTTTATGGGATTGTATTACAATCATAAAAAGATATATAGACAAAGCAGACATACGTCACATAAATTCGAAACAGCCTTTTAATACATTTTCTAAAACCCGTTGCGGAAAATGGTTAATCTGGCCCATTTCAAATTCTATGGGTAAGCTGATGGGTGTTCTAATTATACTTTAATCTGCCTGCAATCAAGCATGCATGGATGAATATACATTATACAATGTACATGTATGCATATTAGTGTATAGGCTTTGATACAGAATAATTAGTTTTCAAAGAATAACCCCCCCCCCCCCTTCAATTTCAGCACAATGTTCCTAGTTTGATACAGCATGTCCTACCGTCCCATGATATATACAGCTGTTGTCCCTCATGATATTAGATCGTTTATAGCTTAAAATAGCGATTTTCGGGACGTTCGAAAAAAAATAAAAAGAATTAATCATTTAAAGAAGAGATGGTTGTAAAAGGCTAACATTTAAATTTGCTTGCAGAAAATACTAGGTTTTTTGAGTAATTATATGCACATTTTGGCGTTAGAGCTTGGAGATCAGTGGCGTATTCAGGGGGGGGGCAGTAGTCCTCTTGCCCCCTGGGAGTTCCAGGGGGGGCCCTGCCCCCCCTGGAAAATACAAAATTTTAGGATACTTTAAACTAAATTATATAACTGTCGTCTTACTTAGCAGACTTAACGAACTTGCACTTATAGCCTTAAACCCTACAAGGCTGTCTGAGCTCTCTACTTAGAAAACCATTGAAATGTTTGTGCAAGCAAATCCCAGAAAATTGAAGCTTAAAAGAGTTAGTGAATATGTAAATGGAGTAAATTCTATGTAAAAATTTCAGAAGAAATTTTGTTTATTAGTGAAAATATAATTTTTTTAATGCTGCTGTGATTATTGATTTAGGTAGCTGTGATGGAGTAAATTGATAAATTTATAAATTAAAAGGTTAAAGTTTGTTTTTCTAGCAAAGGAATGATTTTTAGCCTCAGCTCTGTAAGGTTAGTAACATCCAAAAATTATAGTCTTTTTGGTGTATTTTTATGGTGTTAATTGACTCTTTGAACAAAACAATTCCAGGGGGGGTGGGCAACAAAAATCTTGTATAACAGTTGATCGACCACTTCACTTGAAAAGTCTTTGATCTTTCAAAAAATTTGGTTTTCTTTTAAACAAGACCAAATTTTTTCAAGATTTTTACTTCTTTTTCGATACATTTTACTCAAAAGTCAATAATTTTCCCTAACAATTAAATATTTATCTTTCTAATTCAGCAATATAAAATTTTGATCCTCTATCTTATAAAATGTTTCATTATTAAAATTTAGAATAAAGATGCCCATAGATTATTAGGCATGAAAACTTATTAATGCTAATTTTTGCAGCTCATCCATCATACTTAAAGAAAGCATGTGGTGCGAGGCTTTATTTGTTAACTTTTTGGTCAAAATATAAATGAGAAAATTTAGATCTAGTTGCACTTTCATCTCTCCAGTTTCACAAATCAATAAAAATTCCTTTAACCGAAATTTATTTTCAAATTAGTCTATTTCTAGTTTAAAATATAATACAAAAACGAGATCGATTCTAACAGAGAATATCTTGCATAGGGCAGGTTACGTTTTCATAAAATCATTAACTTTTCACATGTTTATCGCCAAAAAGGGCTCAAGGCCTATCAAAAAATTTTGAAAATATAAATATCAAAAATTGTACTTTTTTTGTAAAAAATATCTGGCAAAAAACCAGCAGGCAGGGTTTATTTCAGTCTTATTGAGACTTGGTAAAATACTTTTCTCCTTGAAAACATTTCTAAATATCAATGCATAGTCATTCACTCATCTTCAGAGTTATAAAATAAATAAGTTAAAATCAACAATAATCAATAAAAACCTAATAAAATCATATTTTCCATAATTTCAGATTTTTCCAAGTACAAGGTTGTTACAGGGTATGGAACAAATGATTAAATATATCTAACGAGCTAGATTAAATGGGCTGGGGGCTGAAAGGACGAGGAACTCAATTCAAAAATTGTAAAAAATGCGATTACGTCTTAAACAAGAAAGCATGTATTCTAAAAGCTTGTAATATTTACACAGCGGCGGGGTTCAGGTTCAGCTCAACAACAAACTTCGTGTCTTCATATCTTTGGTACAGGTGGAAAATGCAGAAAAAAAGGAAACCCAGAGGGAGAGACTATAACTAGGTTAAAACTAAGATATTTCCTAAAAAATGCATAAAAGAAGCATAGTCTGGGGAAACAGAAGTTTTTGATTTATCTCGTTTGTTGATATTATTTCTCTAGAGATCTAACTGTGGTGACTAGCTGTAGTAGTTTCATCCTCATATACACACACACTGTTAGTCAAGGAGTTGTATATTATATAAAAATTAAGAAATCTCCGAATCCGAGGTAGTTTTCAAATAATGCATGAAATATCTTTGGACGATTGTGAACGGACGACTTGACGCCGACTTTATTTGGTTTGGTAAACTGACTCCTACTGGAAGCCGAGTGGGTAGAAGGAGTCCTGACTTGAGACAAGTCCTCCAAACTTTTGGTTGTATTGATCTGGAAGTATGGTGGTGGGAGGTAGGAGTGTGTAGACCGGCGCGCTGGTAAACCTAGCCTCAACATTAGCTTCCGGTTCCTGGTAGCGGGGCTCTCCACCCTCCTGGGTGGGCGGGGATCTCGTGCTAGTCACGTGATGCTCGTCGTTGGGGGTGGCAGGTGAGGGTTGGGAGGGAGCAGGGGAGGGGAGAGGTGTTGAGTGTTTGTGAGAAGGTGAGGGAGTGGGATGACCCGTCCTATTGTCGCCTGAATATCCTGGAAAAATAAAAAGATTATTTTCAATAGAACATAATAATAAAAAGTGAATGAAGTCTGTTAATCTTTCTTTGCATTAAATACTTGGAATTTTAACCATTTCCAATTGTACATTTTACTACCCTATTTTAGCCTGTAGTGAATTAACTATTTCAGTAAAAACTGATTTCTGAAAAAAAAAATACCTTTGGTAAATGGTAATCTAGGAGATGCAAATTAGGGCATTAGGTCCTTTGCTTGTGGAAAGTATAAGCACTGTTATGATCCCTTGAAGCTCCCCTTGGTCCCTTGTATAATGTATACCTGTAGAACTAGTAACCCTATGATAGGTTTGTGAGATCTCCATTGGACGGGTTGGATATCCAGGCTGATAGTTTCCCTGCCCTATACCTAAACAATGACAATTGTTAATCTACATTTCTGGAATATATTACACCAGTTTACTCCGCTATGATGAAACTTTAACATTATTCATTGTAACCTTACAAGATTTTTTATTCATTAATTATTTGAAAGTATATAACTCTAAAATGTTATTTAATGCGAAAGGCTGAATACAATCTTCAGGTTGTGAGTTAAAAAGAGTTTCAGGTTTTCATTAAAGTCTCATCTCTTGTAGGGACAGGGGGGAGGGGAGTCAAACATGTGAAAACTAAGGGTTTCAGATGTGCCTTTGAAATATATATGTTCCACTTTTTAAATTTTTTTTCCAATGATCCATAAAAACAATGAGCGTCCTGGAAGCGATAGTTAACCGTCATGTCAATATTCATTGTAGTTAAACGTTCTGACTATGTTGTCATAATGCTGCTAGTCCTGCTGTAGAAAACTACATGTTTATAGGATGATACCGTCCAGTGAAGGGAAATAAACTAACCTAAAGAGCTGGTCATGAGCAAACTTTTATCCGTAGCAACGTTAATATGATAAGGTATTCCCGGAGAACTGGAGAGATGAGAAGCTCCAAGATATCCTTGATCTAAGAACCCTCCTCCTCCAGCAGATGCTGGGGTACGCCCTAGTGGCATTACAGGCTGGGGGCGGGTTTCCTAGAAAAAAGGGCATATATTATATATTTTACATGTCTTTTGATCTATGAGAAATAATGGTCGGAACGGCTGAACCGATAGAGCTCATATTTTTTGTGGGACCTTACTGGTGGTGGTATAGTATTGCTCAATATTACAATTCACCAATATGCAATAGACTTTAACGTGTTATTGTTTTAATAATAATAATAATTCTTGCGTGTAAAGCAACATTTAAAAGCGTTAAGAAAGTCCAGTAATTTAAAAATAGATTTTTTATTTAGATGATAATAAGAAATAAATTAACTCAGAAATGATAAATCTTATAACTTTGTAAGGTAAAAACATGTTTAAAACAAATCCTTTTTGGGGTAAATCTTGTTGAATGTCTTAACTTTTTAAAACTAAAACTTCATTCGACGTAACTAACCCTTACTTAATATGAAGCTAGAATGTAAAATGTAAAAATGTAAAGAAGGAAAGAAAAAATTGTTGGGACCAATTTTATTTCAATATTTTGTTACATTGAACGTATTTTTGTTGAGGAGAATTAATTTCACGGTTTGAAGGATATTTGAATTATGTAAACTTGAGTATAGTATGCATAATGTAAACTTCTTATAGGCTTGTAAATATAAAAAGGGGCTGNACCTGTAAAGGAAAATAATGGCGGGAGTGTAAACTATAAACAATGTTTGTACCTGTAAAGGAAAATAATGGCGGGAGTGTAAACTATAAACAATGTTTGTACCTGTAAAGGAAAGAACTCTTGAAGAATAGAATGGTTCTGTCCAGAAAAGTTGTAAGCTGTATCGAACGTTATTGTTGTGGCGGGGGGTGGAGCTACTGAACGGGGAGGGTTAGGGGCGTTACTTGAAGGCGGGCCCATAGAGTTAGGATACCAGGGAGCAGGCTCTGGGGGCGTAACCTCAGGAGTCCAGGTAGGCGTGGTTTGTTGAGGCGTGAAGGTCTGAGATGCCTTAAAAATAATTATTTACATTTTCAAACCTTAAAACTAAATTATTGAAATTAAATTTTTGTCTTCCAAAACTCAGCTGTCTAACTGCCTGGGCTCAAGCTGTCAGTATTTAAAGGTATCGCATTAGATTTGCTTTGGATAGTTTTTGCCTGAATTTAAAGCCGAAGCAGATGTTTCAAATACAGGGGGGTTTCTTTACTTCGAATTTTTGGCGCATTATCTCTTCAAAAGATCTAATTAAAATGGGAAAATTAAAGACTTTAATTTTCAAAATAATTTAGCAGAAAACATACAGCCCTGTTTAAAATAAACATATTGAGGAAAGCAGAGAGAGAGAGGGAAACCTTAGAAAAAGTATTTATAAATCCCACCGTAAATTTAGTATACATACATATAACATACCCATCCTTAAACATTATACAATATACATATAACATACCCATCCTTAAACATTATACAATATACATATACCATACACATCCTTAAACNCTTGTACAATGTAAAATGTACATGGCGTGTAATATGTTCTTGGACATAGATGGCGCTAAGTGTTGTATGGAGAGAAGTGTACTCCCATCCTTAAACATTATACAATATACATATAACATACCCATCTTAAACCTTATACAATATACATATACCATACACATCCTTAAACATTGTACAATATACATACAACATACCCATCCTTAAACATTATACAATATACATATAACATACCCATCTTAAAACCTTATACAATATACATATAACATACCCATCTTGAAACCTACTAACTCATCCTTTAACATTTCATTTCATATTTTTAATCAAATACAAAGCACGAGATAATAAAAATAAAAAATCACAATTTACTATGTAGTGTTTGGACCCGCCTCACAAAAGAAGGTTGTTCTAATCAGTTGGCTTTTCATAAGCGAATGAGAATTGTAAATAAATACACGGGTGTACAATGTACATTATACATACAACATATCCATTCTTAACTTACATAAAACATACTTATTCTTAAACATTCCTACATACAACATACCCATCCTTAAGCATTAAACATTATATAATGCAATACCAATTCTTAGCTAGTAACAGACAAGTTTTACTCATTATACAGTAAACGCATTACCCATCTTTAAAAAATTAAGATTTTTTTGTTTGTTTGTTTAAGTAACATTTTAAAGGTAAAATTATTGCAAAATTTAGAATGCATCGACAGAAAGACCTGGAACCGGACATATAAATATTAAAAAATATGATACAGAATTATGCCTGTACTAAGTTCACGAAACCTCGACACTAATCCGCTCCAATAATATTTGGAAATATCAAATGTGTTAAATGTTTCATTCAAACATCATTCAACATAAAAATGTATTCCTTTTTTATTGGAGGATGTTAGCACGGAGAGCAAGGGGGGCTATAAAATACACATTCAGTAGCCTAAATAAACATTAAGTTTAAATTGTATAATTTCTTGCTCTCCTGTAAAGGAAAATAATGGCGGGAGTGTAAACTTAACTAAAAATCAACTTCATTATAATTATCCCTAGGCTAGAAAATGTTACGCCCCTGCTTTTAGGCTTTTTTGGATGAAAAGAGCGAAGATAATTAACAGTAGTTGGTTGCTCTTTAATTCAGCAAATAAAAAGAATAAAACGAATTAAAAGAAAAAAGGGAGAACAAAGAAAAAAAAAGAAAAATACTCACAAATTCTCCGGTAAAGGTTCCGCTCTTCCTGGGCTGAAAATAGTTTAATTAGTAAACAATATTATTTTAGAATTGAAAATAGTTTATTTAGTAAACGATTTATTATTTTGAAATTGAAAATAGTTTAATTAGTAAACGATCTATTATTTTAGAATTGAAAATAGTTTAATTAGTAAACGATCTATTATTTTAGAATTGAAAATAGTTTAATTAGTAAACGGTCTATTATTTTAAAATTGAAAATAGTTTAATTAGTCAACGATTTATTATTTTAGAATTGAAAAGTAGATTTCACAAAAATACAATCTAAGAGTTTGTATCTAAATAAAATTATAAACGCACAACAACAAAAATGTTTTACATTTTACCGAAGCAATTATTATTTTCTTCGCTTTGCTGTTCAAAACAAGGGTTTCTATTAATTTACAAAACTTTAATGATATGTATACACATATAAATATTTTAAAGGGAAGAGGGTAGAATATGTCTGGTATTATTTATTATTCAGTTTATATCCATCTATCAAACTATCTGTAGAAGTTTAAGGATTATGGTAATGAAACCACTACTTGTCAAAATCGATTTTATCGATTTAAGTCAAATTCAGGGAACAGTTTTTACTTTTTTAGCACCAGGCCCGGTTCAAGCCCTAAGCAGAAATAATAAAATAAAATCATAATAAATATCAAGCTTAAAATATAAGAAAAATGTGGTCCCATGGATATTAAAGTTGGGAATATTTGAAAAGGTGAACTGCGGGGGGCCATTTCCTCCTAAAACAAGCTTGCACCGTGCACCGTGCACACAAGATTATTCAGTAAAATGCGCGCAATTCCCCGGGATTCTATTTAAAACAAATACAAAACCTTGTTAAAAAAAGACTTTTGCATTTAACAACCAGATCTGTTTGGGTTAAAAATTGGCGGGAGTTTTTCTGAACGCCTTGTACAATGTAAAATGTACATGGCGTGTAATATGTTCTTGGACATAGATGGCGCTAAGTGTTGTATGGAGAGAAGTGTACTAGGACACTGTGTAGTGTGTATGGCAGGAAGTGTTCTAGGACACGTTGTATTTGTCGGGAAGTGTACAGAACACCCTGACTATGGCGGGAAGTGTTCTTGGACACCCTGTGTATGGCGGAAAGTGTACAGGACACCCTGACTATGGCGGGAAGTGTTCTTGGACACCCTGTGTATGGCGGAAAGTGTACAGAACACCCTGTATATGGAGGGAAGTGTTCTTGGACACCCTGTGAATGGCTAAAACTGTTCTAGGACACCTTGTATTTGGCGGGAAGTGTACAGAACACCCTGACTATGGCGGGAAGTGTTCTTGGACACCCTGTGTATGGCGGAAAGTGTACAGGACACCCTGACTATGGCGGGAAGTGTTCTAGGACAGGCTGTGTATGGCGGGAAGTGTACAAGACACCGTATGTATGGAGGAAGTGTTCTAGAACACCCTGTATATGGAGGGAAGTGTTCTTGGACACCCTGTGAATGGCTAAAACTGTTCTAGGACACCTTGTATTTGGCGGGAAGTGTACAAGACACCGTGTGTAAGGGTGAAGTGTTCTAGGACACCATGTATATGGAGGGAAGTGTTCTAGGACACACTTTATATGGAGGGAATTTTTCTAGGACACCCTGTATATGGAGGGAATTGTTCTAGAACACCATGTGTATGAAGGGAAGTGTTCTAGGACACCCTGTGTATGGAGGGAAGTGTTCTAGGACACCCTGTATATGGAGGGAATTGTTCTAGAGCACCCTGTGTATGTTGGGAAGTGTTCTAGGACACCTGGTGTATGGCGGGAAGTGTTCTAGGACACCTGGTGTATGGCGAGAAGTGTTCTAGAACACCATGGATATAGCGGGAAGTATTCCCTAGGATCAATAAAGGATCCGTATACCCAGTATCTGCTACGCAACGGGTGAGTGGATAAATACAATCGATATACAGGGGCGCAACTGGTCATATACAAAGAGGGGGGGGGGCGGAGTAACATTAATTAACTGATCTTTTTCGGTTCCATACGAATTGTGAATAAAATGAACAAAATAACTAAAGCATATTTAGCTCATTTGAAAAATAGATGAGCAGAAAATCACGTAAATATATTAAACATGTTATATTTATATTTGAAGTATTATGACGCATAAACTAAAATCCCTAAAGAAATAAATATTTAATAAACCAGGAAAGTAAAATCAATAAATTGCATTGGATAAATTATTCACTGTATACAGAACACACACTTCACTGCTTACAATCAAATCATAAAATAAATTATTTATAAAATGAAAATAGAGATCCAGCAAATAGAAACTGATATTTATTTATTTGCAATATTAATCTATATATTCAGTATTTCTTTTTTTACCTTAACTTTTTAAATAAATGAATATAAATGTGTGTTCTGAATATAAATGTATGTTCTGTATGTGAATGTATGATCTGTATATAAATGTATGTTCTATAAATGTGTGTTCTGTATATAAATGTATGATCTGTATGTATATGTATGTTCTGTGTGTAAATGTATGTTCTGTGTGAATATGTAAGTTCTGAATGCAAATGTTTGTTCTGTTTGTAAATGCATGTTCTGTAGGAAAATGTATGTTCAGTTTGAAAATGTATGTTCTGTATGTAAATGTATGTTCTGTTTGTAAATATATGTTCTGTTTGTAAATGATATGTTCTGTATGTAAATGTATGTTCTGTATGTAAATGTATGTTCTGTATGTAAATGTATGTTCTGTATATAAATGTATGTTCTGTATGTAAATGATAAGGATGAAGAGAATACAATGCTCTAATATATTACAATAAACTTCAACAAAATATTCAACAAAACATCTTCACAAGAATATCTATTAATCTTAAACAAAATAATAATTTGAAAAAGACTATTTTTGTGCTTTGCTAATATTTCATTGCTGACACATGCATTTTTACCCCCCTCTCCCCGCCCTTCTCCATTTCACCTCCGCGCCAAATGCTAAAAAGATGACAAACCGTGTTTCACAGATTACTCACGGCTCCGTGTCTTTTTCCGGTATAGTCCAGGCCCATACGTCATAATGACGTAGGCCTGCAGGCCTAAGCTGTGACAGCTTGAGGCCTGAATGCATCTTGTCTGGGCCTAGACTAGGCCTAGTCAAAGGGGTTTCCTCGCGTTTAAATGAATCACGGTTCACTAGGAAGTTTTATAGATTTCACACACAGAGTGTACTGCAAGTTTTGGGAGGGATGTAAACAAAGCCAGAAAAATGCGTTTATTGGAATCAAGGCATAGTATAAATAATTGAAAAAATATATAAAGTTTCCGATCCTTGATCTTAGTTGAACCGTTTCTTTCATTTGATTTAAGTTTCTAGTCGAACTTTAACAAAATTCAAAACATTGAAAATATTTTCGTCTCTAATTCCCACTCTTCTTCTCACCCCCCGCTGATATTGTCACAGGGTGGGGAGGGGTAGGGGGGGGGGTCGCGTGCCAAGTAAAGAAGGGGGGAGTAAAACACGTGGATATATAAGATTAAAGAAACTGACCATTTTAGAAGACCTCTAAATCTTCTGTTGAATTCTATGTGTATGTCTGGTGTTCATATATTATGTGTATGTCTGGTGTTCATATATTATGTGTATGTCTGGTGTTCGAATATTGTGTAAATGTCTTGTGCTCGTATATCATGAGCATGTGTCTGGTGTTCGAATATTATGTGAATATATCTATTGCTCGAATATCATGTGAATGTCTTATGCTCGAATATTATGTGTATATCTGGTGTTCGAATATTATGTGTATATCTAGTGCTCGAGTATTATGTGTATATCTGGTGTTTATATATTATGTGTATATATCTGTTGCTCGAATATTATGTGTATATCTGGTGTTCGGTGTATGTCTAGTGCTCGAGTATTATGTGTATATCTGGTGTTTGAATATTATGTGTATGTCTAGTGCTCGAGTATCATGTGTATATCTGGTGTTCATATATTATGTGTATATATCTGTTGCTCGAATATTATGTGTATATATCTGGTGTTCATATATTATGTGTATGTCTAGTGCTCGAGTATTATGTGTATATATCTGGTGCTCGAGTATTATGTGTATATATCTGGTGCTCGAATATTATGTGTATATATCTGGTGATCGAATATTATGTATGTATTGTATATCTGCTGCTCGAATATTATGTGTATTTATCTGGTGCTCGAACATTATGTGTATATATCTGGTGCTCGAACATTATGTGTAGATCTCTGGTGCTCGAGTATTATGTGTATATATCTGGTGCTCGAATATTATGTGAATGTCTGGTGCTCAAATATTATGTGAATGTCTGGTGCTCGGAATGAAAAGTTTATTTCTGAAACCTTTTCAATAAAGTTGCCGAGTCACAGTTTATAACTCGTCGTAAAAAATCTTTTCAAAACAAAATAAATAAAATATATAATTTCCAACTCAAGCTTCCAACTTGAACTACAACAATAGATCCTATTTCGTATCTATTTTGCAAGCCTTCAGCCATACAAAGAATTATCTATATAAGGAGAAACATACGCAAAAATTGTATTTTTTTAAAAGTACATTTCCATGCATTAATATTTTACCAAGTTTAAGTCTATACCTGTTTTCTTTATGTACTGTGTAATAGTATTGTAATAAATATACAAGTCAAGACCTGTCTTCTATGTACTGTGTACTAAATATACAAGTCTAGACCTGTCTTGTATGTACTGAGTACTAGTATTGCACTAAATATATTAGTCTAGACCTGTGTTCTATGTACTAGTATTGTACTAAATATAAAGTCTAGACCTGTATTCTATGTACTGTGTACTAGTATTGTACTAAATATATAAGTCTAGACCTGTATTCTATGTACTGAGTACTAGTATTGTACTTAACATGTCTGGATCGTGAAAAATCTGTTTTTCTTTACTAACTTCCCCCATGAAAATTCGTCTCGCAGTATTTAAATTTTTTCACTTAAATATTCTCAAAATTCCGGAAAAACAATTTCACCCCCACCCCATGGAACCCCCCGCTCTTGGCCTAAATTCCTAAATTAAGTTGAAGAGGGGGGGGAGGGTAAATCCTAGTTAGCTTCAAGCTATATACAACTTCAGGGTTGAGATTTGATCCCGTCTTAACCTTTTAAACTAAAAATCAACTTCATTATAATTATCCCTAGAACTAGACTGTAGGGCATACTTAAACTAGGACTGGTCCTCGTAACACTAGGAGCTCAAGGAACTGGAATCCATTTTCTTATCTTCGATCAGCCCAGCTCATGGGGGAGTGGTGTCAAATTTTTGTACAAATTTTTTAAAATGTAAATAAAAGTTGCATTATTAAAGGTTTTAACAATTATGTACATAGTACATGTTGAACAGTGTACAGAGCATTGTACAGTATCATTATAGTGTACGTGTATAAAAGTGTACGTGTATAAATTTATCAGAAGATTGTTGGAACAAAAGGAAACATTTGTATAATAAAACTATTTCTATGTATGAAACAATATAAACGTAATGCTGACCAAAAACAAGACAATTTTCTACCCCCCCCCCCCCCCCCCCCTTCTCATTGACGCCAAGATCTCCCTTTCTTCATATATAACAAAAAACAATTATTTGACAATTCTATTATTCAACCCTCCAATGTTTCACAAAACAATACAATGAGACTGGAAAGTTGGCATATTTCGAGAAAATCCGGGAGAATTTGTCGAGAGTCGGAGAAAACCTTCCCTCTTCCCCCTTGACTGGGGTAAATTCCCCAGATTAAAGCCAAAACTGTGATCCTAGACATTTTGTAAGGATTGACCCAAGTAAGCTGTAAGGGAACATTTTCTAGTCTGTAAAGCTCGAATTTAACATGGGGACAGAGAAAGCAAACTATAAATTAGATTTGTTTAAATTTAAGCACGTTGTATAAATAAGTGTTCCAGTTTTTCTCCCCTTATACATATAGGATATATTTAGGGTAAGGGGTTGGTGATGTTTAAAATACAATAAGTATTGTATTCACATTTCTTATTCTCCACATAAACATACCATCTGCTGAAAACAGATAAAAATATTGATATGCAGAAGAAAATGTGATTCAAGTGACCATTACGTTTAAGTTCTCCGTACTAAATTTTCTCGTCAAATATGTTGAGTCAAATACAATTTATGCTTGCTGGGTTTCTGAGTTAGGGTCGGATGAACGCTAATTTTTAAATTATAAAAATATTTCGTTCTTCCTGTTCCCTCTCTAGCATTTCCTGTTTTAAACTTCTCATTATTTTCACATCTAATGCTTACCTTTTTCTCAGTAAGTCGGTCACAGCGGCGCATTTTACAGATCTGATGACTTTTATCATTCCTAAAAAATCATAGATAAATAGATAATATTATTAGAATGATTGATAGATAGTAAATATACCTGCAAGGAGCACAATCTCCGCAATTATCCTTCCTCTGACAACCTGTACACTCTCCACACCTCTTCCTCTTCTTCTTCACCGGCTTATCCTAGATTCAGAAAAATAAAGATGGCCAAATTAAAGAAAAGTATAAATAAATAATATTTTTAAAAAAAGAGTAGACAAACCATAGTTTGTTATAAGAAATAGTAGACAAGCTAGCAAACCATGTTGGTTTATATTTGGTAGGGATGAAAAACTTGCCAATATTTAGAAATAAAAAAATTAGGAAATGCTTCATTGAGAACGACAATCGCTGTTAGTTGTAATAGTTTTCAAGAAACAAAGATATCTTTGAAAACTAAAGAAACCAAGATTCCTGGTCACCTGTGTATCAGTTAATGAATGAGGTTGAGTGTTGTGAGGAAGATTAGGCAAACTAACCGCCGGAGATCCTAACCCGCCTTCCGTTGGATCCGGTGGCGGTTTAAACGCCTCCGCAAGACCGCTGATAGTTTCCGGTGTTGGATCTGTAGAGGATATCGCCGCTACTTGACCATCGGCGATCCCAGGATCGGATTCAGATCGCATTGATCGCACGGAGTTGTCAGATTCTGATCCTTCGAGTGACGTGGTTCGAACCTTAGCTCTGTTCTCGAGTACACAGTACTGAGGTGGATCTGCTGAGGGTTGAGTTGAGGGAGAGGCAGGGGGCTGGGCGTAACGAGGGGAGGGAGAGGAGGGAGTTTGAGTGTATCTTGGTGAGGGCGAGGAGGGAGGTTGGATGTATCTAGGTGAGGGTGAGGGAGTAGGTTGGGAGTATCTGGGTGATGTTGGAGTACTTCGTTCTCCGACACTACAGGCAGAAGTTGGTCTGATAAAAAAGAGTATTTAAATCATAAAGCATGAAAAAGTTTTTTCATCACCCAGTAGATAATAACTCTAAAATGTATCTGTAATTATCTCTCGCTGGTGCTAGGTTTAATTACCCTTAGTATTATTTAATCGTCATGGAGCGTCTAATTAACCAAATTAGATTATATAAAATTAGACAGAGACAAAACATAAGATATAAAAGTAAATTTAAGAGAAATGGGAAATAAAAGACAATTAAAATCCAGAAAAAGTTTATTTATTTCTTTTGCAAAGTTAACATTTATGTCGTCTGACTGCTTTAAACATATTTAATAAAAGGGACAGTAAACGTAATTTCAAGTGGTCCTCCATTTGAGAAGGAACATGCCCGATTCACAACGATACCCTTGAAACCTCTGATCAATAATGTGGAAGATATCGACATTTTTCTATCTTTAATTTTCACAGTTTTCTCTATTGTTTCTTTAGCAGGAAATCCGCCCTTTACTAGATAAACCACATTTGAAAATAAAAACACGAATATCTCATTCATTCTTGCTCAGGCAACGCTTTTGATCGGACATTTACATTTACATTTACATTACATTTACATTTACATTTACATTTACATTTACATTTACATTTACATTTACATTTACATTTACATTTACATTTACATTTACATTTACAGGCCCCTCTAAAAATGGGGTTTACTTGAAATCGCCTTTAATCTCTCACTTTAAGATTAAATGATTCAATGCTACATTAAATATTATTTGAAGTAATATATTTATTCATAAACCTCTTTTTATTCATAAACCTCTTTTTATTCATAAACCTCTTTTGTTCATAATCCACTTTTTATTCATAAACCTCTTTTTATTCATAAACCTCTTTTATTCATAAACCTCTTTTTATTCATAAACCTCTTTTTTATTCATAAACCTCTTTTTATTCATAAACCTCTTTTATTCATAAACCTCTTTTTATTCATATACCTCTTTTATTCATAAACCTCTTTTATTCATAAACCTCTTTTTATTCATAAACCTATTTTTAATCATAAACCTCTTTTTATTCATAAACCTCTTCTTATTCATAAACCTCTTTCTATTCATAAACCTCTTTTTATTCCAAATTATCGTTTACGTGAAACTAAATTTATTTCTCTACTAACCTGTGTGAATCTAGGGAGGGGGAAAAAGGCGCTCCAGGGGAGAATTTTCCCGGTGACATCGCGGCGGCGTGTTGGGAGGGCCGGCGCGCCTTAGCGATAACGCGCGCCGGGAATTTGTTCGGAGAACCCTGCGTGCACTGGTATCCAGGAGTAAGCTAGAATATATTATATCAAATATTAATAATAAGTATTGTTGAAAAGTATCTGTAATATATTAGTTTCTGTAAGCCAAGTTTGAGTATATAATTATACTAAACACTAAATCATCCAAGCCTATGGTTATAATACATGAGAAATTTAGAATATATATGATGTGTTTTTAATAACACAAAACTATATTAAAAACATGAAGCGGATGAAGGGTACAAGACCCCCCTTATAATACGAGGGGGGGAGATCCCTTTTCTCATGAAAGGAAGGGGAACCATGCCATGCAAGAGGGGTCCAGTTTATTATACTCATAAACAAACCATTAGAGGAAGAAAAAAGGCTCAAGCCCAGAATCTAATTGTTCGCCCCCGAATGTATCAATTCCATTAAAAATTGGAGGGAACAAATTTATTTTTGTCAAGAAAGCAAAATCAGTAAATTTAATTTGAAAAAATAGTTTCTTTTTGTAAACTTGTAATTTTGAATAGAAGGGAAAAAACAGAATGAATAGATAAGTAAAAGAAAGCGTAAATGCTCTTATATTTAATAAGAAGAGAAGAAGAGAAATCATCTTCTAACCATTTCGCAAGAAGCACAGATTTGTTACAACTTCAGGACTAGTCAGGATGGAAGAGTTGACTGAAGGTTGGAAAGTTGGAAGGACGGAAGGATTGATGGAAAGAAAAAAGGAAGGTTGGAAAGTTGGAAGGATAGTTGGATGAAATAGTGGAAGGATGGAAGGATGAAATGGTTAGAGAGTGGAAGGGTGGATTGATGGATGAATGAACCGGATGGATTAAAGCCCCGAGGTATCAATCCTTAATTTCTAACCATAAAACATCCAATATTACGCAGACCCAAATATTTCAAGTTTCCTGAAACCTTACAGAAAAACGTTGGAGGATGTAATTAATATTTCCAAACAATGGCATCACAAATTTTGTACATCTTTGTAAAAATCTAATCAAGGAAATATTAATAACATACCTCTAAATTTTGATATTGTTGTTGTTGTTGTTGCTGTTGTTGCTGTTGTTGTTGTTGTTGTTGTTGTTGTTGTTGTTGTTGATGCTGCTGTTGTTGCTGAAGCTGCTGCGAATGAACTCGATTATTGACAGGTTGTGGATGCTGAAGGGCATGACCGTTATGAGAGTTCATAATAGTTTGCCCGTGTGGTAAATTATTATGACCGGGCAAATATCTTCCTACTTGATTCATTGGATACCTAGAAATATATAAAAAATTGAAAATATATATCTAGAAATAAAATTAGATATTTCAGAATAAGACAACAGCAACATCTTTTAGAAATTGTTTCGGTTCAGACAAATTCAAATTTACACAATAAAGAACAACTCGTTAGGTTCTAAAATTAGGATTTTTAGCATTCTCAAGTTAAAAAAAGTTAAATTACATTAGGTCAAAACTATTAATAACCTATTAGTTAAGAACCTATTAGTGATAACTTTATAAGTTAAACCCCTATCAGTAAAAGTCGATAAAATTTAACAAGTTTCAAAAGTTAATAAAACCGTATTCGTCAAATGATATATATATTTATTTTTTAAAATCTCATCAGTTAACAAAACCCATCCGTGAAAACCATATCAGAGACGACTTTTGGTTTCTATTTTTTATTTCTACCAAGTAACAGCATAGATAGAGGAAACACATTACACATAAACAAGGAAACAAAGAGAGTTTTCCAATTGCAGTTTTCCAACCTTAAGTAGAAAAGTCGTCATCATTGTATTGCTTTAAACGCGACCACCGTACCTGGAGGTAGGTATAGGAGAGGCGGGGGGAGCCTGAGTATTTGGAGGTGGAACAGCATCTCCAAACGGAAATTGTGAATGGAAAGGTGGAAGATGATTAACTCCAGGATGATGTTGGAGGTGTGGATGACGAATATGATGAGGATGCTGTTGATGCTGTGGATGGGGAAGATGAGGATGTTGATGACCAGGATATTGAACTCCTAACAAACCAAAACATTCATAAATAATTACTTTCTGTTGCATTAAATGAGATTACATACTTAGGTATAAGAAGGACATGTTATGGGGACCGGGGGGGGGGGGGTCAACAAAAAATTTCTACATTTTATTTTTCTTAAACTAAGGGGCGGGAAATATGGGTTGTGTACACATTTGGTTGCGACGTATTAGGATTGTAAAAAACTAGTATTATCAAAAAATAACAAATTTTTCAAACAGGAGTGTTCCTGTTTTTCAATTCTTATTTATAAACAATAAATCCAGTTTCTTTGCAGTCCTAATAATTCACAGATAAATATAAACAAAACCTAACCAGGTAGGTACAGTGTACACTCTACCGGACCCCCCCCCCCCCTCCTTGAATCTACTCTCATTGGTTTCTTCTGGATTTCCGCTAACTTGTTCAACTCTTGATAACATGTTCCACACATGTCAACCGTAAACTGATCATAAAATACAGATAGATAGATAGAATATACAAATATTGGGATAGATAGATAGATGTTAGATTGTTTACACTATTAGATAAGTATAACAAGACGTTATCTATAAATATACATATATGCACTTTGCAACGTAAATAAATAAACCCAACCTTCGACATGACTCTGCAAAATTTAAATAAGTACTAAATAAATTTACAAACTAGATAATTATCTTGTGTCACTTGATTAGGCACTGTATTTGAAGTAGGAACTATTGGGGTTGTAATTAAGTATGAATTAGTAAGACATGAAGTTATACGCATGTCGCAGTGTAAAGAGAACTAAGAACATTATTATATAAGACTAAGTTTTATTTCATATGATGCTAGGGTTCCTAAATGTTGTTGCTGTGAAAGGTAGTAAGCCTGTGGTCCTGAGTGGTGTGGACGGGGAGCAATTATCTAAAATAAAAAATATTTGATTATGATATTAATTCATAAATACTTCAGTTTCTTACAGCTGTTTTCCCTTCCCTTATCATCCTGTCCTCCCTTCCCTTTCTCTTTCCCTTTCATAATATCTCCCTCCATTTCCTTTCCCTTTTCATCATCCCGCACTACCTTTCCCTCCCATTCCTTGAACCTTCACATCCTTCCCTTCTCCTCTTGCCTTTCTCTTTCCATTTCTATTTCCATTTCTATTTCCATTTCCATTTCCTTTTCCATTTCCATTTCCATTCCCCTTTGCTTTTCCCTTTTGTTTTCCCTTTTGTTTTCCCTTTTCTTTTCCTATTCCTTTACATACCTTCCCATTCCTTCCAATATCTTCCAATCCCTTCCCGTTCCTTCCCTTCCCATTCCTTTCCCTTCCCATTCCTTTCCCATCCCATCTCCTTACCCTTCCTACCTGGTGAGGTGTTCCATTATGCGGTTGCCCCCCCTGAATTTGATGAGGAGTTCCATTATGAGGTTGTGTGGCTGGATAGTGTCCCTCCGCCTCCCAAGGTCTATATCCAGCTACACCTGGAGTATTGCTCGCATTTCCATCATAGTTGGAGGGATTGTTTTCAGAGTATATTGGAGCACTGGAGGAACTATAAACTGGAGCACTTGATGAACTATAGACTTGAGTACTAGAAGTGCTATAGACTGGAGCACTGGAGACAATGGAGTTAAGTACTGAGGAGGAAGAGAAGGTATTTTCTGAAATATTGAAAAATGGCTTTAACTTTCTTTTTAACTTTTATTTATAATCAACTTCATGAAAAAAATACCTGTGGCATAAGAAGAGGAAGTTGGAGGTGTTTCATAACTCTGAGACGAAGATGGTGGCGTGTCAAACCTCTGGGAGGCTGGGGGTGTGGCAGCATTCTCTAGACTGAGCTGATCCCAACTATTAGTTGGAGACTCTGTCTCTGTACCAAGAAGACGACTGAGGGTAAACCCATCTCCTACTAGATCACGATCCAGCTCACCTAAATAATTAAGCGTTTTCTTTTAATTCTTTCCCATACCATTTCTACACCCGCATAGCCTCAAACATCGACATTTTAGCGCAATTCTGTAAACTAATGCACCTACATCATTCCGACTGAACCTAGTTCTTCCTGACAAAACCTAGTTCCTCCTGACAAAACAAACTTCCTCTTGTCTTAACCTAGTTCCTCCCGACTAAACCTAGTTCCTCCTACCTCAACCTAGTTCCTTCTGACAAAACCTAGTTTCTCCTTACTAAACATAGTTTCTCCTGACTAAACCTAGTTTACCTAGTTCCTCCTGACTAAACCTAGTTTACCTAGTTCCTCCTGACTAAACCTAGTTTACCTAGTTCCTCCTGACTAAATGTTTCCAGATTCTGTAACTCTGTTCCCTGCCCCTGAGTAGATGAAGGTGGAGATGGAAACTCCTCCTTCAGATCAGGCGGAGGCGGAAAACCTCCAGATATCGGCGGATCTCCGCCAGCCTCCGCCTTAACATTTTGGGGTACAGGAAATCCTCCGGAGATAGTTTGTTCTCCGTCTTCCTCTTTCTCCGCCCTCTCCAACCCCCGACTGGACTCGTTCATTTCAGAGCATAACACAGCTTCCTTCAAACATCTGGAAAATACAAAATATAAATATTTTTATTTTCAATTTTCCAAATATATGTAATATGTAATATTATACGAGGAGGTGGGGCGGGGACGTATATTGCAAATAAATATTCCAAAGGTCATTCTTATCTTTATTAATATATCTTATCAATATTTACAAGATCTAAATATATCAAATATAATTAGAATTTCAAGATTATTAAGTTAAAGTACGTTTATCTCAAATTGTTCTTCATAGATTTTAATCACGTCTTTAACCTTTCTTTATTTTCGTTTTCATCTTAAATAGTTTTTGTTGTTATGCACAAAATCTTTGTTCATAATATCATCCTAATCAGAATTATGACTTATTACCATTCATAAAATCAATTTTTAGAAACATTTTAATAAAAGAATTATAAGACATAGTTCTATTTTAATTTATTCTAATTCTGAGAAATTTATGGATAAATCAATTAATAAAGAGGCAGATTTAGAAGGATATAGAGAAAAATGGATAGATGGATGGATAGATAAATAGATGAACTCGACAGCTGGGTTAAAATAGATACTCAAGTCCATTAAGAGGGATGTTGAGGGCAGACGGACGTGAAGATAGACAGACAGATAGATAAATAGTGATATAGATAGACGGATAGAAATACTCTCGCTTTCTCCCATCTGAAGCAGCTGTGCTGATTCATGGAGAAAGGAAGAAAGCTGTCTCGGAAATAATTTCTACATCTTACCAAAATTGTGATGCGTGCATTCACATCAATTCTAACAATAATACCACTACTCTAGTCTTAACATTTAAAGGCAAGATAGTTACAGTAAATGTATTTCAGTTTTAATTTTAAAATTAAAAAATTTATGGATCTGAATTTTGGATGGTTTTTTTTTTACCATGAATATATATGCCTGGGTAGTTGTGCATGTTAATAATGTTAATGGCTGCTTGTGTCAATGTTATGAATATATGGATATGGCTGGATATGTCTGTGTTGCAAATAAATGGATATGACTGGATATGTCTATGTTGAGAATATATGGATATGGCTGGATATGAATATGTTGTTAATATATAGATATGGCTAGGTGTGTCTGTGTTATGAATATATGGATATGGCTGTATATGAGTATGTTGTGAATATGGCAGTATGTGAGTATGTTGTGAATATATGGATATGGATATGGATAAATGAATATATGGATATGGCTGTATGTGAACATGTTGTGAATATATGGATATGGCTAGGTGTGTCTGTGTTATGAATATATCGATATGGCTGTATGTGAGTATGTTGTGAATATGTGAATATGGCTGTATGTGAGTATGTTGTAAATATATGGATATGGCTGTATGTGAACATGTTGTGAATATATGGATAAGGCTGTATGTGAGTATGTTGTGATATATGGATATGGCTGTATGTGAGTATGTTGTGAATATGTGAATATGGCTGTATGTGAGCATGTTGTGAATATATGGATATGGATATGGATAAATGAATATATGGATATGGCTGTATGTGAACATGTTGTGAATATATGGAGATGGCTGTATGTGAGTATGTTGTGATAAATGGATATGGCTGTATGTGAGTATGTTGGGAATATGGCTAGAATCAAGATGTTTGTCAAGTTATCAAATCCTCTTATAGCTAAGTTGTTCTCAAAACTTCTAGAAAATGTATAATCTCCGACAAAATTTTACTTAGAGCTATACATAATTTATTTGCTTCCTTCCCTCCTCTAGATATTTTCAAATATTTACCCCCCCCCCTCAAAAAAAAAAACCCTCCCATAAACCTCCTCATATACACATCTTACATGCACACTGTCCCTAGATTTCTTCCAAACATTATTCTAGAACATAAACTAAAACTTTTAAATATAATTTTGTTGATTTAGGTTGGATTAGTTCAGAGTTAAGCATGGGGAGGAAAAGGCTGGAGGGAATAGGCATGCAGAACAATGGTCTTCAAATAATGATTGAAACAGAAGATGATTGCAAAATAGGACAGAAGAGAACAAATGACAAATATGGCAATTTTAAAATTGTGAAAAAAACTCCAGATTTTGGTTGACTGCAATTAGGAGAGTACATCATAAACATCTCCACCACCCCCCGGTACACTTATTTATCAACATCTCCACCACCCCCCGGTAAACTTATTTTGAAGGGGGGGGGAAGTAAAGGGTAGAACTGATTAGGTTCAGTTAACCCCTGTAATTAAATGATATTAATAATGTAATAAATCAAGCCAAACTAATTAATCTTATACAAGTATATATATCATTGAAGCTTCCCCCCCCCCCACTGTCATTTAGATAAATCCCGCAATAGTTAAAATAATCTTTGTATAATATTCGGTCAACTTTATATGATTGGTTAATTGTTCATTTTTTGTTAAAAGAATCTTTCTATAAGTTAAATTCTTACAGTTTCCTTCATTGTTTCTGTAGAATTAATCCGCAAGAAACCTTATAGAAGATACCATATTTGAAAATAATTGATTGTTAAACAGAAAAACGTGGATAATTCATTCATTCTGGTCTTGCCGACAATTCCTTTGTGTGAATGTTTAAGTGATTTTCAAACCCCTAGTTTCAATCTATCCCTAAATTTGGATTCGACATAAATATATATATAATTATACGCTAACAATTATATGTATGTATATATATAAAATTAAGTTTCATAGAAGAAAAAATATATTCCATAATTAAACATCTTTAATGAAACTAACGTCTACAAATTTAAGATTAAGACGAAATAGAATGACAAATAATGTGATGAATAAATAAAAAGTCATTTTGAGTGATTTACTGGACTACAGTCTAGACTATGTTGACAGCCCCCCCCCTCCTCCAAAAACATGCTGAATACCCACCACCACCCTGACTGTCAGTCGAAAACTGCGTGATTACTGAGAAATAATGAATCTACTAAATATATTTCTAAATAATTAATTATGTAGAATGTTTAAAAAAAAATATTTCCCTAATTTTCTTAGAATTTCAGCAATTGATCATTTTTGTGTGTTTTCTTTTAAACGCATTTGTCTATCAATTAATTATTTATTTATCCATCTAAATAAGGGCAAAGGAAAAAATATTTGACCCAAAATCATTATTTAACGTATTAATTCTTAAAATCATTAATCCAAGAATCAATTAGACTATCAGGATTAATCAATCATTAAATCAAATGAACTATCCACTCCAGGATTGTACAATTATAGTACAACAATTAATCCTGATTAATTACAGGGCGATTAATAAAAAACTTCATGGTTTTATTTGATATTTTTTCATCTCTTTCTCCTCAGGTCTGATTTTAAAAGTACAAAAATATACAGAATTGAAACAGATTACGAAATTATATATGCCAACAATCCACACTTGGAAGTATATATTTAAAAAAATTCATCAATCTGCAAATTCGAGTAATTTTCCAATTCTATAATTAAATTCGAATTTCGGTGCAAAATTTTGTTGGTGGAAGAGGGGGGATATAACCCGATAAATATATAGAGATTCATTAATCTATCATAATTTAGACATGATTACTGGAAACAATACAAGTATTGAAATATACCAAATGTTAGACAGAAATTAGCAAACACGTGCTATTCAAGTTCTTGCTATTAAAGTTTTTAAAACAAAATTACCAACCCATGGTTCCCCCAAACAACGGAATATAACGGAATATTTAATGAACGGTCTTTTTCGACCATGAATTAAAAACATCCCGCTCTGTTGAAGAAATAAGACAACATTATGTACAACTACTTTTTCAGGAATTCAAAAATTTTATTTAACCACTGGTTTTATGGAACCCTTGGTATAAAGTAAAATTCCCTTAACTTCCCTCTAGTAGTTATAAATAACTATATTTTAGGACCTGAAATAAAGAAATTGTTACCACCAAGAATTTCTGGTTTAAACTAACGAGAAAAATACTAATAATCAAATTTTCCTGAAACTTTCCTTTTCCCCATTTCAATTTTATTTTGTCAACTTAATTATATTTTACAATCTGCGTTATAAAGTTTTTATATTGCTAGGGATACGACAACAGCCAAGCTAACTTTAAAGTTTGGCATATTATAAAATTTTACAAAATTTCTTTCAACTTTGTTCAACGTAGTCTAAATGGTTGGGTAACCATGGCCTTGAATGAAACCAGGTACAGACTAGACTGTATTCATCCTACAACCTTAGAATTTAAACAAACCATTTTCTATTTTTAAGAATAGTTTTATTAAAATGACCAACAATATTAAACTACTATTTCCCGCCGAAAAACCACAATTTTTAACATTTTCAAAATATTCTACCAATGGATCCATAAAACATGCCATTTTTCCTTTTTTGTTGTAAAATAACAAGTAAACTTTGAGGGGCTCAAATTTAATATTTTTTCCTTAACTTATAAAATGCCAAGCACTCCATTAGAACTTTCCCGCCACCTCCCCCACTTTTGAAGTTTCCCTAAATCCCGGAAATGCGCAAAACGCGTCGCATTGCAGTCTCTCAATAAATGAAAAGCCCTCAATTTTCAATGCGACAATTTTATTCTTAGAAAAAGTGTTGAAGAAAACAAGCAAGTTTTGACAAACTACTTTAGTCCAACTATAGACCCGGTCCAAAAAAATGATGACAGCTAATCTACATAAGCAAATAAATGACAGCTTGACGGAGGGGGGGGATGAGGGGGGGGGTATTTTTTCAATGCTTCTGCCGATTCTGGTTTTCCAATACCCGGCCTTTATATTTTTCAAAACCCCTCCCTTTAAAGTTATAAAAGTGATTTTTATTTGATGGATATATTGGGGTTTTATTGTCTTTTTCTGTATTCCCCAATGTTTTCTTGTGTAAATATCACGAAATTAGTTCCTTTTAGTTTTACTAACCCCCCCCTCCCCCCTCGTTTCATATTTACAGTCTCCTGCACCCCTTCCTACCCCCCCTGCCACCCTCCTTCTCCCTTGTTTTCCGCAGTTTATCAATGGTTTTCGATATTGAAGAGTATTAAACAACAAAATAATTGTGTAAAGGGGGTAAAAATATATTTTTCCATTCTGTACGCAACTTAGTACGAGAAGGGAGCATGAAACGGTTTTAACCAATCGACAGCTTAATTCAGGACATCCCTCCCCCCCCTTCCACGATCCACACAAAGGTAAGTTAAAGAATAGGGATCTTCATTACTTGCATAAAAGGACGTAAAGAATAGGGATCTTAATTACTTGCATAACAGGACGTAAAGAATAGGGATCTTCATTACTTGCATAAAAGGACGTAAAAGTTGAAACTTTGTTTTCTTGTCGAATTAGTTAGTATTTAATGATTGAGTGAGATAATAAATGATGAGTGTGTGGTCGAGTGAGTACAAGGGTGAGTGAATAGGTGTGTGATGTGTAAGTAAATGAGTTTTTAATGAGTGAGTGAATGAGTGTGTGATGAGTGTGTGGTGAGTGTGTGATGAGTGTGTGGTGAGTGTGTTATGAGTAAGTGAGTGTGTGATGAATGAGAGAATGAGTGTGTGATGAGTGAGTGAATGAGTGTGTTGTGTCAGTAAATGAGTGTGTGATGAGTGATTGAGTGTGTGATGAATATGAGAATGAGAGGAATGAGTGTGTGATCAATGAGAGAATGAGAGGAATGAGTGTGTGATGAGTGAGTAAATGAGTGTGTGTGATTATATGTTAGTGGAATACAGAACTGCAGGATACTTCCTATTTCTGTAATTTGTAAACAATGGACCCTACAGGGGGTAAAAACTGGACGAATAGGTGGGGAGGGGTCGAGAGAAATTTTTACCATTATTTTCCAAAATGTTTAGCTAGGATGGCNGTTCAGCTGAATGCAATTAATGTAAAATAATCAATTAAGGTTGTAAGATGACCCATAATGAACTCTCAAATTACAATCCTAACCTAGCAATATATTCTTGTCTGGTCTACCGATTGTAGTATAACCTTCAATACAATCCAACTATTGTAGCCTAACCTATACTTTAGGCTGTATAACTCCAAATCTTTACGACTGTTTAGCTATTATAGCTAAACCTTTACTACTGTCGAGCTATTGTACACTTAAACTTTACCTTAGTATAGTGTAGCTATTGTAGCATAACCTTTACTTTATAGTCTAGCTTGTGTACTGTGTAGCCTATATATTACTACTGTTTAGCTATTCAAACCTATTTATTGTAAATTAACACTATTCTAGCTATTTAAGCCATGACTAACCAAATTTAACAAAAACTCACAAAATTAAACCAAACATTCTATTATAACAACAGCTTACTGAGAGAAAAAATATTAATAAATACATATATTATTTAATTATAAAAATACAGATATATTATTATATCCCTTTTAAATGACAAGCACGAAACAATATTGACTGACCCAGTTACAGGTATATTTCATTTTTATAAAGTTGCGGTCAGCCCACCCCTCCACAATAGGTATAGGGAGGTACTATCATAAAACCGGTTTTAGATCAACTCAACAGCTGTTTACCAGATAATGATATACTATTTTAAACCAGAAAAACAGGTTTTCAATAAAATTTTAATAATAAACTGAAAAATAAAAATACGCTGGTCATGAAATATTTAGGAATAGGTTTTCCGGATATATTTCAAAAACGAGTTAAAGAAATATGAATAAAACTTTTTAATATACGAGTTTGTCAAGAAATATAAACAAAACTAGTTAGTCAAGAAATATGTGGACCTAGTTGCTCTGGAGCATAAATATTTCCAGAATCTAGATTTAAATTATAAATGTACTGGACTTTAGCCAGTAGAACTTTATGAGCTTATCAAGATATATGCTAGAAACGTACTCAGGATATATGCTAGAAACGTGCTCAGGATATATGCTAGAAGCGTACTCAGGATATATGCTGGAAACGTACTCAGGATATATGCTAAAAACGTACTCAGGCTATAGGCTAGAAATGTACTCAGGATATATGCTAGAAACGTACTCAGGGTATAAGCTAGAAACGTACTCAGGATATAACGTACTCAGGGTATAAGCTAGAAACGTACTCAGGATATAGGCTAGAAACGTACTTGTTAGTCAACAAATTTTTCAGGAATCAGTGTCCGAATTTAATGAATTGAAGCCGCGTCTAAAATCCCCCAAAACTGGTTTTAATTGAGGGCCGGCTGAAATGTTGAAAAATTTAATACAAATTTAAGTGGAACCAACAAACTTTGAGCCGGGGCTTAAATTTAAACCGCTGCTCAAATTCTTTAAATTCGGCCTCAAGATATATGTATTGGACTAGTTTTCAGGAATAAGAATATATGTATACGACTAGTTTTCAGGAATCAGAATATATGTATTGGACTAGTTTTCAGGAATCAGAATATATGTATTGGACTGGTTTTCAGGAATCAGGATATATGTATTGGACTAGTTTTCAGGATACAAGCTTTAAACAGGGGTCTGTCCTAGTGAACGATTTTTGAACCCTCCCCCAAGCCCCCATAGAGCTAGTAGTTTACAAGTAGAGCTAGTAGTTTACTAGTAGAGCTAGTAGTTTACAAGTAGAGCTAGTTGTTTTTAGACAGACCAAATAGTTTAAAAGCTACGCAATGAATTTATAAGTGAACTTTGCAGTTCGAAGAGACCACTAGGTATAATTGTCCTTATTAACTAAATTTTCGTTCAGATGGTTTTAGACGATGTGGGGTTTATCGCCAATATTTTGTAATATAAAAGTATTTAGCAATGTTCTACCTGATAAAATGCTATTCTATGCTGCAACTGTACACTGTACAGTGTACTGTGTGGTAGTGCACAGGGAAGAGGTTTACAGCTCTACAGAAATAACTTTATTTTCTGTTTTACAAAAACAATTCGCAGTTTTTTAATCTGACATTCACTTCAATTTCAGGGAGTTTGTAACCAATATATTGCAGTTGATAAAACTGTTAGTTAAAGCTATAAAAAGCTAAAATAAACGTATTTTTAAAGTGGAGTAAAATAAAATTCACAATAAGGGTACTATCCACTCACACGGTTCCTACATACTGCGTCTGCGATGTCTGTCCCCATGGACCGCTGAAGCACCGGCAAGTAAGCTGTCATGCTGTTGTACAGACACGCCTTACACCACCGGACTGTCCTGTCTCAAGCGCCTTACTGCCACGGACAGCTGTTCTGCAAGCTGCTGGGAAAGTCAGACTTGTATGTCCGGTTTGCTTCTTAATGCAGTACCTGTACTTTGCAGATATATATACAGGGATTCCTCAATCCTCACTACATACAGGGCAAAGATATAATATCAAAATACTTAACCAATAAAACGCTATGAAATTGAAGACTTGAAATGAATATATTTTATACATGATTCGTGTTTTTGTGTGGCAAATATAATTACTAGGAAATCAATATTTGCGTCTCAGCTGTAATCTAATCTTAAACCTATAAACTAGGAGGTCCCAATAATCATAAATTAGTGAAACATGGAAAAATATCGAGATTCGAGTTTTTATTTGTATTTTACTGGGAGATAATTCCCAATGCGTCTGCACGGTAGAAGGCTAAAATACAGCTAATGCTCCAACCCCCCCCCCTCATATTTGAATTTTATGCTTACAATTTTTTTGAGAGTTATTCTTTTGGACCTCGAACATCTAGTACTATATTTGTTATTTATCACATAATAAAAACAATATATATATATGAGTGTTTTGGAAACTATTGAATCTATCTAAAAAAAACTATAAATATGTTAATAAAGTACTTTTAAAAAATCGAATTTTGAAGGAGAAACAAATTTCAGCCAATTTGGTCCAGCCGTTTGGCCAGCTATATCTAACATATATACATTAAAAATATGTATATATATACGAGCGAATAGCTTTATTATATATAGATTATTATTTTATTAATTATTATTATTATCATTATTGATTATTATTTTATAACTATTATTATCATTATTTTTTACTATTTGTTATTCTATCATTTTGATTATTATACATCTATTTTGCATTTTTCTTTTTACATATTATTTAGAATTAAATTCTTTTTTATTTTAATCGGTGCTAAGTACAAAATGAAGGCAATGAATTAATTAACATACATCACAATATTTTTTTTTCTCGAAAATCGTTATACTTCAAATACAAAACTAATATAGCAACTATGCATATATTTTCTTGATTTGTCAATTAAAAGTGTTTTTAAAGGATGGCTGTTTAGTTCATTGATATTGGAATCTTTTTTAACCAAATCAACCATATTTTTTTCATACACTTAAACTTTGAACAAAATGCGCAGTTTCTAAAATCACAAAAAAATTACAATCATATTTTAGGGTGGGTTTAATGAATGTCTAGTTTGTGTTACAGAGAAGTGACTCTGTTTGTCTGGTGTCTAATGTCTATTATATATTCTAGAAAAGTGACTATACATCTAGTGTCTAGTGTCTAGTTTGTGTTACAGAGAAGTGACTCTGTTTGTCTGGTGTCTAATGTCTATTCTATATTCTAGAAAAGTGACTATACATCTAGTGTCCAGTGTCTAGTTTGTGTTACAGAGCAGTGATCCTGTATGTCTCTTGTCCAATGTCTATTCTACATTCTAGAGAAGTAAACTTGTATGTCTAGTGTCTAGTGTCTATGCTGTATTCTAGAGAAGTGACTTTATACGTTTAATGTCTTGTGTCTATGTCTGTATGTCTAGTGTCTAATTTATGTTCCATAGAAGTGAATTTAATTAGATAAGGCGGACTCAGCTTTTCTTATAATCAATATACTACAGTTTATATAGATAGAATATACGTAAATATATAGATACTTTGATAGGCAGAAAGATAGATAAATAGATATATATTCATTATACAATATAGATAGATAGATAGATAGATAGATAGATAGATAGATGTAGATGTTCTACCTTGATAGATAAATAAATACGCATTATATATACAATGTAAATATATAAATTTGAAGATATTCGATAAGATAAAGGAACGTTGAATGAATATCTAAGAATTTTTAAATTCTAAATAGCAAGCGATGCATAACGTTTAATATCTATTATTGTATTAAAGTATTCAAGGAATGTAACCATATCATGTAAAACTTCAATCAAGAGACATAGATATAATGTATTCTTCTTTAACTTTTATTAACGAGAAAATTACAATTACAGTATTATGAATTAATATTCAAACGTACAAAAATATATATTGAAATGCACGAATGTTAGAATTTATGTATAAGATTGCTTATCACCAAGAATGTAAGGCAAGGAAAGTCATTTCAGAAGTGTACACATCTTTTGTACTGTAGTGTACTGTCTCTTGGCGGTAATGTAAACACAAGACGGATGTCGAAGCCTGACATGGGATCCATCATTCACATAAAAAATCAATGAAATATTCTGGTCATAGGAAACTATTATGTGAATTATCAAAATTATCAAAATTTAATGCTTTTAACCTCCTCAGATACTAAACGAACACTGATGCATCTATTATTGTTTACAAATTCCGCCCAGAGAGAACTGGTTTCAATATGAGATCAAAAATAACAAAATATAAACTGCAGACTTTTTGCCATATTAAGACTGCTTCAATTAAAAATGCAAAAAAAATAATATGAAAAAATACCATCAGAAGCACAAATATATGGTGCTCCAGAACAATTATTGAATTGGACAGTAGTTATAATTTTTTTCATTGAATGAATATGGACCAATTAAACTGACACAAAAATGAACATAAAAATTACTGCAAATTCTTAAACGACTTACGCCAAAATTGGAGGTTAGAAGGTGTATCTCGAGACTTATCGTCACGAATCTTGGAATATCTTTAGAAGTAAAGATTAACTGGATACGAGTATATGTTGGATATAATTACATTGGATATAAGCAGAGATTAAAAAGAGGACATTGGATATAAAATCCTATTGGATTATATATTTATCATTTATATTTGTCTAAAGCAAAATTACATTAAACAATATAAAAGTTTAGAAACTAATACTCTTTTCTCTGGATATTGCATTTTAAAATTGACAGGGTTTGCCAAAAAAGATGCAATACAAGACTTTTAGCATGAGTATAGTTTAGCTATTCAAAGGTGGTTGTCAGAAAAGGGGTTTCTTGGTCCCAGTCTAGTGTTTTTCGTTTTCTAAAAATGGGTATGATGACAGTACAGCAAGACTTGATAGATTTTCACACATTGCTTTGAAACTAACACTGGGTTTGCAGAACTTATGCACAAGATATATCGATACTTTTAAGACTTATTTGCCGAGCTCCCCGCGCCCCCCCCCCCTACGCGTGCCCCCCCTCAGTGGGGGGGTTCTCATGGGGAGGCTCTTTAAATATTATATTTGCTTGCATTTCCCTTCCTAGGACAATCTACATTCTTCATTGCATTGCATTGCACTCACAGAAACTAAAAGATTAATAAAAGAAATAAAATATATTCTGATTCACAACAATACCCTTCAAAGCGTTGTCTGATCAAGTATTGCGTTAAAAATCCATGTTTCCCATTTTGAAAACTGAATATTTTTATTTGTGGTTTCTCTACCACAGTGACTCGCGCATTTCTTGCTTGAGAAACGATGGAGAAATGAAGGTTTCAAAGGTACATCGGACATGCCACTCTATACATGGAGGGTCACTTACGCATGTATTCCATTTGAGAATAATTAATTACATCGTATAGAAAAAAAACTTTAAAATCTCACTTTTGTCCTGAACTAAAAAAGTTTCTAACTAAAAAAGCTTTAATCAATACTGCCTTCAGTGTAAATATATATTTGATATCATAATTTATAATACAATATGTATCAATCCTATGAAAATATAGATCATTTTTTAGAAACATTTCCATCTATATTTTTCATCCCTTGAAGCTTACACCATAGTATTAAGAGGGATTGCCTGATTTTGTGCCCTCCNCTTAAGAAAATAACACAAATAATTTTATAACGCTTGTAATATTGAAGTGTGTATATGATCGAATAGTTTACATATTTAAAAAGGTATCAATATTTTTTTCAAAAAAGGGGTTTTTGAGGGGGAGGCACAATGTTGCCAAGGGGGGGGGGCACAAAATTTTTTTAAGCGCTGACGTGCGCAAAATGTGCCCCCTACACAAATGCTCTCGTACGCCCTTGGTACAGTCGTCTTCGTATATATTAATTAAATTAAGACGACTTTCGACTTCAATTTTGTTTTCTACCAAGGTCTAACAGCATGAATTGGATACACATAGCAATGAATAGAAAGAGGAACTTTCAACTAACAACTTATTTGTTTCCTTGTAAACTATTCTGAAAAAAAAACTCGTTAGAAATCAAACCTTTAATTTAAAAGTCGTCCTCATTGTATTGATATAAATGAGGACCACTGTATTTAATTTTCATCTGATACTGTCGTGATTCAGCGACGCACTTTAATTTTAAGAATTGCCAAATGGGTAGAATTTGGAAAACAAGGCTAAGTAAATAAACTTCATTAATTAAAAATGATAATCTAAACCATTCTAAACCTAAATCGCCGATTTCCCCAGCCAACTTATAAACTAAAAAGACTATTTCTATAAAAATGGCACAAAGCCAAGAAGCCAATTTCATAACTTCCTCACTCCTCCCCAAGAAAAAAAATGTAAGCTCCCCTGGACAAATTGTTAAATATGCCCTGAAGATAGTAGAAAAATTTCAGTGAGGGGGTGGAGTGTTGATAACCCCCCCCTTCACCAGAAGGTACCCTGTTATCTTGGTAGATACTTTAAAACTTAGTGCTACCAAGTTAGATATTTATTACAAATGTTTTAGCTTAAGGTTTAATGACACCTTTAGCTCTAAACTAGTAGAAATGCACATCATTGCAAGGATGCAAGGTTATAGTCTCAAGAAACAGTAACGTATATGTCTTAAGAATAGAGAATGGGGGGGGGGGGTACGTGTATTAGATCATAATATAACGTCAATAAAAAGCTTAAAAAATTAATACAGGTTTGTTATTGAACGGTCATGTTTTTTCCATGAACCCCTCCTCCCCTTCCTTGTTTCTGTATATATTCTCGTATATATCGTGTAACAAAGAAAACAAAGCCTTTTTAATACTTCTTTTTAGACTAAACTGGATTCGAAGGGGGAGAGAGGGGTTCAGTACGGAAATTGAAAGATATAAATCTGAAAATTATCTTATTAAACTTAATTTATACTTTTCAAAATTCACTGATTTCTTTGCAACAGTATTTCTATGAACCATTCATGACGCCACTGCTTCAAAATTCCCGTACTTCATTTAAACACTTCGAGCCGAGGCGAAATTAGGGTGGAAGATATGGTGGCTCAGCCCTACACCCCCTGGATCAGTAAAATCTAAGGTCTTTAGGGGTTTCCAGGTCCCAACGGGTGCTGAGCCACCTCCCCCCCCCCTTCTCCTTTTCTAATCGTATAATGATTTTTTCACCCTACTCATGAATTTTTTGATCCCTAAACCATATTTATATATAACTTTGGCGTCTGTTTGTATCCAATAAACGCCAAAACGGCTGAACCGATCGGGCCCAAATTTTTTGTGGGAACTCACGTGACCACAGGGAAGGTTTATGAATGATCAAAATTTCAAATATTTGTCTCCATCAAAATTCGATCTTCATTAAATTTTTGAAAACTTTAAAAATCCACGAAATTTTTTGTGAAAATCCGCGAATTATTTTTGTTGTTTTACGATGTACACAAAGAGAACATGTTCACAATAAAATTTAGAAGATGGGCGCGAAGCGCCCTATAAGGCTAGTACTTTAATATGTGATATGTCATTTGTCAATTATTTTAGCCAGCAAACATCTGACATGATTAACAGAATGAATGCATCTCATTTTTAACCTTTAAATGGATTTATTACTCCTAAATTTTTCCAGCATGCATTCGACATGCTTAACACAAACAGAATGCATGCATCCCATTTTTACCATGGAAATGAATTCCCTGCCTCCAGAAAGCCACAATTAAGTTCAAATTTATCACTATTTTTATGTAGTTTTGGCAGTTTTTTTCCAATCTTAGGCATAATGTCATTTACACTGTTCACCGGATTAGTCTGCTCTAAGGCAATATAGTTTTTGTTGGGGTTTCCCTGATAAGTTATGTATACAGGCTGTTGTAGCCTGTAGCTGTGAATGTGGTATAACCCTTTTTTAGGATATTGTTTGTACCGGGGGTGGGATGTGTGAAGGCCCTACCTTTTTTTTGAATTAACAAGCCTTAGGATACTTTTCAAATATCCCAACATCTTTGTTTATAAAAGCTGTTATTAAAACAAAACAATCTTCCGGGTTCTTCATCTTAGAAAGTTGCTCTAATATTGTATACTGTTCAATTATTCTGCTTTCAAGCTTTCAAGTTCAACTTTTAAATATCTTTAATTTTGGGTTTTTTGAGGTTCCAACTTGCAGTTTTATATTATAGATACTTTTGTGTTTATCATTCTAATATTCATCTCATTTTTTTGTTTTTTGTTGCATTTGAAAAAACTGAGTGATTAACTAAAATGTTGCATTACGAAATCCTTTAATTATTCATCTTTTTAGTTTATAAGTCTCAACTCTCTGCAGTTTTGAACAATTACGAGGCATGAGTAACGCTTTTGCAAATTTCTTGATATCATCTAGACTATACGAAATTTGTAGGGATGATCACTCTTTATCTCCTTATAGGACAGCAAGAAACTTTCTTTATAGTTATGTTTTAAAACTACTGGGTAGAGAGGGAGGGGGTGTTATGGATGGGAAAATGACCATATTTCTATCCTGTTTCGGAAAACCAGGTAAGACTATGTAATGATAAAAATAGTTTATTTTTTGAAAACTTTAGTTTTAGGTAAAAAAACTTGTATGTCATTGGCAAAAAACTTTAAATTTGAATTGGATTCAGATTAAAAACTTAAATATATTCACATTAATATGATAAATTTGCATTTGCAGTATTAATTACAAAAATATTAAGAAATGGCTGACATTATAGCCGATAATGATCCATCAAATGGTTTCTGAGGTTTTTACCTATTTTTATCAAGCCTTATATACTAATAGCTAAAGTGCCTGGCATTGCCCGTGAAAAAAAATCGAAAATAAATTTTGAATTTTTTTTAACCTATAACACCCCCGGCTACCCATTAAAGGCCAACAAAAAAATCAGCCGGCTACAGGCAACATATATATATAAGAATGTCTTGTTTTATTATATAGATCAAAACACTAACTCTTTTTACACATCGTTGTATTTGATCGTTGCACAGATATTATTTATCAATTTTAAATGACAGCTGTGAAAATATTGAACAAGACTTTTAAAACAAATCAACTAACAACTTATGTCCTAAAAAATGAGATGTGAGAATTTGATAATAATTCTCTTTTTATTTCTAGTTTTTGCAATAGCCGCTAATTTAACATGCAAATTGCAGGAATCCACGAAAAAAAGTGCGTAAACCGCAGCTTATTCAATTTGAGATAGAGAAGTCACGAAGTACATGTTAGCTATTTATTTACCGTCTTGAATCCGTTAAATACCACTAGCTTTAAATATTTACAGTCTTGAATCCGTTAAATACCACTAGCTTTAAATATTTACAGTCTTGAATCCGTTAAATACCACTAGCTTTAAATATTTACAGTCTTGAATCCGTTAAATACCACTAGCTTTAAAAGTTATATACATGCACTAGATCTTGTGTATACAAAAAGAAAGGTGTGACAAATATAAACATTAAACTTGAGTAGATTTTTATTCAGGGCCCATACTTCAAGTTTTTTATCCACAAAGTATTAGTCTTTAATGCTTAATGACGACCTGCAACCTCTTATTTTCTCGATCTTAATGTTGAATATAGTTATTTTCATTAAATATGATCTTGTAAATACAAATATGAATTGACAAAGAATTATAGTAAGTTTCTTGTTACAACAAACCAAAAAAGTAAGGATGGATTCTTTGTTGTTATCCAAAGGATTTGATATTGGAATTTTATTTTAAAAATTTTAATGTTCTCAAGCGAAACTTTTGTGTGTGAAGAGCTATAATAGATCATCTCGAAGTTAGTTTTATAAACCTTAAATGCAACTAACTAGAATTTGTACACTCTCAGTACAGCTGTATTCTTACGTCACAAGTGTCAATTCAGTTTTTGTGTCCAACAAAATTATAAATAATAGTGATTAGTTTTAGAATAAAGTGCGTATCTTACAGTAAAATAAGTGCAATTAAATGTATTCTTTATTTTCTGTCAACTATAGTGTGAGAAAATTAAATTTTTCTTGTTATATTTGACACTTGTGACGTCGTGTATAATGAGTCTATTTCTCAGTTGCCACCTATTGTACTTGATAATCCTTTTGGTATATTCAAATGTATAAAATGAGAAGTTTAGAAGGAGAGGGGGAAGGGGGGCCGGTTGGTATAGAGATTTAAGATAGATGGGAGCGAAGACCTTGGCATAGATATGTGTATATATATATATACACTTCAGAGTCTGAGAGTTTGAAATCTTATTTGATATATATTTTTTTAACATACGTGAGTTTGCAAGTATTCTATATTTCAAGAAATCTTAATTCTAAACATCGCCGATAAAAAACAACAATGCATATTTTTCAGAGCACAGAGAAAGAGTGTGTTATCAAAACTAAACTAAATATATTTATATATATTTATATATTTGGAAAGCAGAAGTCTCACAACCTCGTACTTTTCTGTCATAGCTCAGTCAGACTCGGAGCTCACTGCTCAGTTCTGCTTACCTTGTCTTGCAGTGAGCTGATACTACTCTATCCTAGGATTGACCCAAACAGTTTAAAAAATACAGAAACAATGTGCATTGTTAGGTTGTATACCGATAACCAGGAAAAAGATATGCTTTTACATTTTGGGTTTTCTCTCCTTTACAAGAGAGAATTTAATTTCTACGACTGAAATGTGGAAAGCTATGAGTATGTGTTTATATACGTGATCACTGATCAATAACAATAAAAAGCTCTTGTAATACTATGACAGGACGGTTTTTAAAAACGTTGTCATTTTTAATTTTAAACATTATTTTCAGTGGTTAACCCTTTACATATTATTATATACTGTTCATATAAATGTACTTTGTAAAACATTCGAGTTTTCAAGTATACTTATAATTGTTTTTTGTTTTTGAAGATTTTAGAATGTCAAATAGAAAATAATTTAGTTTTTTTTCAGAAAAACATGGTTGCAAAGCTAAATCTTTGTTTGTAAATAAACCGCTTAAACCGGGAGTCCCTTCTCTTGAATACATACAGGTAGGTTTAAACTTCTTTTAACAATTTTCTCTGTTTTCAGCTCTCTTCTTCTATACTAGTCCTTTCTCATCCCTTCCCATCTCTTCTCTTTTTCTATATTAGTCCTTTCTCATCCCTTCCCATCTCTTCTCGTTTTCTATATTAGTCCTTTCTCATCCCTTCCCATCTCTTCTCTTTTTCTATACTAGTCCTTTCTCACCCCTTCCCATCTCTTCTCTTTTTCTATACTAGACCTTTCTCATCCCTTCCCATCTCTTCTCTTTTTCTATACTAGACCTTTCCCACCCCTTCCCATCTCCTCTCTTTTTCTATACTAGACCTTTCTCCCCCCTTCCCATCTCTTCTCTTTTTCTATACTAGACCTTTCTCATCCTTTCCCATCTCTTTTCTTTTTCTATATTAGTCCTTTCTCATCCCTTCCCATCTCTGCTCTTTTTCTATACTAGTCCTTTCTCATCCCTTCCCATCTCTTCTCTTTTTCTATACTAGTCCTTTCTCATCCCTTCCCATCTCTTCTCTTTTTCTATACTAGTCCTTTCTCATCCCTTCCCTTCCCATATCTTCTCTTTTTCTATATTAGCCCTTTCTTATCCCTTTCCATCTCTTCTCTTTTTCTATTCTAGACCTTTCTCATTCATTCCCATCTCTTCTCTTTTTATACCAATCCTTCATCTTCTCTTTCCCTTTCTTCCTTTCTCTGCTCTTAACTTCCTTTCTCTTCTTTTATCTTCCTTTCTCTTCTCTTATCTTCCTTTCTCTTCTTGTATCTTCCCTTCTCATCTCTTCTCTTTTCATTCTTTCTCTTCTCTTATCTTCTTTTCTCTTCTCTTCTCGTCACTTCTCTTCTCTCTTCCTATACCAGTCCTTTCTCTTCTCTTTTTTATACCAGTCCTTTCTCTTCTCTTTCCTTTTATTCCTTTCTCTTCTCTTTCCTTTTCTTCTCGTCACTTCTTTTTTCCTATAACAGTCCTTTCTCTTCTCTTTTTTTATACCAGGCCTTTCTATTTTCTTTTTTATACCAGGCCTTTCTCTTCTCTTTTTCTTTCTCCACTTCTCTTCTTTCATCTTCTTTTTTTCTCTTCTCTTTTCTTATTTTCTCTTATCTTCCCTTCTTTTTCCTTTCGTCTCTTCTCGGTTCTTCTCTTTTCTTTCGTCTCTTCTCGTTTCTTCTCTTCTCTTCACTGTTTCTGCATTTTTCAACCACCCAGCCCTTTTATGTAAATAAATCAAGGAAATTAAGGTAGGAAGGATCTTAAAGATAAGATAAATGATACGGCCAAGTAAGCAATACAAGCAGCTACATTATTTTTTTAGTTTCCTTTTTATCACCATTTCCTTCCGGTCAGAGATGATTAAAGGGGGTTTGAAACAGGATTTTAAACTTAGTTATTCTTATCAATTAGTCTAAATAAAAAGAAGTTGTGTGTAAAAATAAATATTAAATAAACTCGAGTTTACCCCCCCCCCCCTTCCTGACAAATTCATTAAAGCAAATTCGTGTTTCCTGTTTGATCAAACTGGGAAAACTGCTTGAGTGGTTTCAGAAAGAAAACTGAATAAGCGACCAATAGTGTTATTAATGTATAAAGTTTAATTTATTGATTTTTAGTCTATATATCCAGTTTGTGTCGGAAAATTAAGGTTTTGTAAAAACAGAATTAATAGATTTTTTAATATTACTTTTCTCTTGTTAATATTTAATGCATTCTTTCTACACATGCCCTAGAGAAATCATAGTTTCTGCATTGTAATAATATCATGGGTCGCTTGTCGCTCCTTGATTTACGCCTTAATCTCTTAATTAATACATTTAGGAAAGGGGGAGAGGGGGGGGGCGCGGTTGCAAATATTTATATTTATCTGTTTAAAAGCTGCAGCACTTTTTTCAGGGGCGTATTCAGGAATTTCTCCAGGGGGGGTTGATTTTTTTTTCTTTCTAAGGGGGGTCTCAGCACCCGTTGGGGCCTAAAAAACCCTGAAATCAAAAGATATCACTGGTCCTGAGGGGGCTTAGTCCTCATAGCCCCCCCCCCTGAATACGCCTCTGACTTTTTTGTCCCATTGCTACCTGATAGTTTAATGCTTATCTAGTTTTTTAATTACTTGTCTACGTACTTTAAAATAGATTTTTAAACATTAAAAAACAAGAATTTTTTTAAGCAAAATAGGTATTTTTATGAGAAAAAAGATAATATATAAAGTGGAGGAGAAGATTTGTCAAACTACCGATTAAAAATAAAACGATATCAATGCCTTCAATTAAGAAAAAAATGGACGACAGTTTTTGTAGTTAAAAAAAAAAAACAATTCTTTTTCTGTTTTACTTATTAATATGGATAATTTATTTACATTAAGATATATATTCATTCACTGAACAAATATATATCATAAATTAGCTATTATAAAAGATATATTTTGGAGATTTTTTTCCCAATAACTTTGTTTATTATTGAATGCAACTAAAAACAAGTACTTTCCCCTCTTTCCCTCAGTTTTTTCCCCTTAAAGAATTTTCTAGTTTCTTGTTGAAAAATACTTTTTCCCTCCCCCCTCCACTACAAAATATTTTTTGGACTTAAATTTTTTTAAGTAAAAGAAATTTGGGATTTTTATTGTCGAATTTGTGAAAATATATTAAAAATAATGAATATTAAAAAGAGGAAAATTTTAAAAACTTTATTTTTCCTTCCACNTGACCAAAGCTCCCAATTGCACCGATGCCCTCCCCCCTTAATGTTATTCAGCACAGTTTATTCGTTTAAGGTTAATCTAGTCTAGTTGTCCAGTTAGTCCAGATTTACTGGCATATCAAGAATATTGAGCTTGGTGTCATATAATTCAATTCTTAACTTATGCATGTGAAATGTTTAATGCCCCTCTCCACACATTGTCAACATCTGCAATAGGCGTTTAAAGCAGGCATGTCAATCAAATTTATCTGGGGGGTTTTAGCAGTCAGATAATAAATATGTCTTTGTTATTTTAATGAATTAGGATTTTCATCAAGATTTCTGATTAATTTTATTCTTGAATCTGTCATAAGACCAGTTATGATCAGGGAATAGGAATAAAGGAAAGGAAATCGCGCTGGTCTGGCACGAGAAATCCAGTCGCACTGCTTTGCAGACAAGTTCGGTAAACCTTACACACACTCTTTTGGTACAGACACACAACATGACTACAGTCAAGGAAATTGCAAAAAAATGTCGTTAATTATAATTAAGCTTGAATAACGACTAGTTTATTGTAAACTTTAAATCAAATTATATTCTTTGCATGAAAATTTAAAATAATATATTACATGTATATTAAACTTATTTTAAAGTAAACAATTAACAATAAACAAATGTGATTTCCTAGACTGTACAAATACCGAGATTCGTATGTACTGTATATACCTACACTACACGCCTTCGGTTCGGTAAACTTTACTCACACTCTTTTGGTACAGACACACACACATGACGTTTCCGCCCCCTGGTTATGATCAGTTAGGTAACCCAACATTACCCGACCTAATCCAACTTAAAGAGACCTGACTGGTCATCCGACCTAATCCGACTTAAAGAGACTCGACTGGTCATGTTAAGGTAATACGACCTAACCCGACCTAATTCGTCTTAATCCAACGTTATATTGCCTACAAAATAATCTATTTTAATCAGATGCACCCTCCCCCTCCCCGAATCATTTCTATTTGTTGTTTCCCTTATGATACAGAAGAAACAACGAAGGAAATTGATAGAATTCAATACTTTCAGTTTAAACGCGACAATATCTTTGTCATAAAGATGTATAAAGGTTACCATTGGAAACCTTAAGTGCAGCTTTGTAATATAAATGGTCATTTATACTTAAAGTTATGTTTAGTGTGCCTTTCATGTTTATTAGAATCACACCCCTAATTAATTACCAATGTAATACTTGTTTACACTTTTTTATGCATTTATAGTTTGGAGCTGCAGAGATTAATAGGTCTATTACAAGTACATTATACATTTTCAACAGTTTAAATTTTTTAATTATCCACACCCAATCTGAGAGAATAGTTACATTTTTAAATATTTTTGTAAGATTATAAAAATCAGAAATAAAGAAAGTCTGATTTTATATATTAATATCTGATAAAAGGGACTGATGCCGTATTCTAAATGGATCCTTCAAAAAAGTTGGTATTTGCCCAATTCTCGACTGTACCTTTAAAACGTGGTGTAATAAAAAGATACAGATATCCTTGTTTTTCAATTTCGGTTTCCCATGAATTATTAACTTCTTAAATAACGTAAATAAACTTGTACAGAAAGATATATAAATTATGCAAAGTACATACAGGGCTTCTTTTTATGATACTTACTTGTATACTTGGAGAGTAGTTGGTGTAGCCCCCGCTAGGGGCATTTAGCAACATCTTTTCCACACAGTCTTCTTCTGGAGATCCTGTCATATTCTCAGTTCATCAGTTCATCTCAGAAGAAGATAGATATTGATCTAGATTTCTTTTAAATATCTTGATATTTTGGGACTCTCTAATTGTGCTGGGTAACTGGTTCCAATCATCAATGACTCTTTGGGTAAAGAAGTTACTTCTGATGGTGGTGTTGCTTCTCTGTTTAGTCAGCCTGGCTCTGTCATCTGATTGTCTGGTGGTTCTCACAGATACTTGATTAACTCTTTTAAACCAGAATTCATCTCCTTCAACCTCTAAGGTTTTGTAGGTTTGTATTAGATCATATCTAGTTCTCCTTGTTTCAAGGGAGAGAAGTCCTAGTTCTTTGAGCTTTTCAGTATATCCAACTGCTCTCAATCCACTAATCATATTCACAGCTTGTATTTGGACATTTTCTATAGACCTAATATCTTGTTGTGAGGTCGGAGCCCAGACTGGAGTAGAAAATTCTAGATGAGGTCTGACATAGGTGGTAAATAATCTTAGAAATACATTCCTGTCTCTAAAGTGAAAAGATCTAGTTAACTGACCTAGGACCATTTTAGCTCTATTAACTGCTACTTCACATTGTCATACTGGGTTTTAAATCTTTGTTGATCAACACTCCAATATCTCTCTCCTCCTCAACACTGTTCAGAGTACAGCCACTCATGGTATAATCAAATTCAGGGTTGCCACTTCCAAAATGCATTATCTTACATTTCTCAGTATTAAAAACCATTCCCCACTTTTCAGACCACTCAAACAAGTTGTCAATGCAGTCCTGCATTACTTCTCTATCCTCCTGAGAAACAGCTTTATTTGCAATTTTGCTGTCATCTGCGAATTTCTTAGTCATCAATGCTCTTCTAGTTGCCTCATCTAGATCATTGATATAAATTATGAACAACAAAGGTCCTAACACCCTGTGGGACTCCTGATATGACTAGAATCCATAGAGAAAAAAGAGTGTCTATCACCACCTTCTGTCTTATGTTTTTTAACCAGTCTTTAATCCAGCTCAAGATGTTACCTTGGATATTTAAGGATTCAATTTTTAGCAATAATCTTTGGTGGGGAACCTTGTCGAAGGCTTTTGAGAAGTCTAGATAAAGAACATCTACTGGAGTACCTTTACAACTTACAACTTAAGCGATTCCATCTTTTTCCTTAAATTCATAGTTGAACTAAATGTATTTATTTCATGTTATTTCATTTCTTTGTCACGTACGCTTTAATAAGCAATTTTATGTCTTGCATAATTTAATGTTTCGACTGTGGTATTTAAAAAGATTCTGTCTTATTCTTTGTGGGTTACCCTGTATTTTCTTATCAGTTGGTTTTATGTATCCTTAGCTTATTTTCTTATCTTAATTCTAGTTATTTAATATTTATGTTGAAAGATTCGAATATATACTTATCAACTTAATAAAATTTGTTAAGTTAACAACTAAGAAACTTTTGTCCTGCAGCTGTTTTTCTTCAGTTTATGACACAGTACAATACACCCTCCCCCCCCCCCCCCCTGGTATAATCATGACACTTCAGATAACTCCCGGCGTATTCTTTAACTAATTTCCTTGAATTAACCACAGTGTTAATTTCACAACTTGCTGGTAAACGTTAAGACAGTAGACTTGAAGTTGCAAGGACACTTAGAACAAGGTTAAAACATTTCCTAGACATTCTACATCGGACCTATTGACCCAATATTAATATTGGTAGATTAATATCAAATTCGGAGTCATTTTTTTCTATGAATGCTAACTTCGGAATTGATATTATGAAGCCCCCCCCCCCCTTAACATTGTTTGTAAAATGTGTGGTAATTAAGGGGTATGGGGTGGGGTATTGTACTCTCCTCCCCTCCCCCATCATGTTTACACCCTTACACGTGAAACTAATGTGAACTGCACGACAGATATAACTCTTTAAACATGTTTTCAATCATAACTTTTATTTATTGGGAAAACAAATATATTTTAATATTGTAATATTTAACCAGATAAACTTGATTTTCTCCTACTTGTGTATAGAATAAAAACTATAGGAACTACAAGGTCGCAAAGTTGTAACAGCAATATCGAATAAATTTGACTTTCTCATTCTGTCTAGTTCATAATGCTTAGTTTAAACAAAAGCATAAAAAAGCAAAATGTATTCCTTCTGTTTTTTATACTAGGCTTCTGGGGCGCTGTATCGTCCTCTTTCCTATGAACTTTTTGGCATTGAACATTTGCTCCGAAAGTCGCCATCTTTAATCGTTCTCAAATTGTCCCGGATTTGTTTGATAAAAATTAGCGCATTTTCAAAATGATAAATAATTTAACATTTTTCATCTTTACAGTCCATATGCCTTCCCTGGTATTAAAAATTTGGGTCTGTTCTAGCAGTTTTGACGTTTATTGGAATTATGGAAGACAACCCAAAATATATTTAAATTAAAGATACAACGCTTCATTCCTGATTCAATATGATAACCTTTGCATTTTTCTCTGAGCAACATTAAGAAAGATATCGTCGTTTTTAAACTGAAAGTCTTGAATTCTGCTAATTTCCTGCTTTTGTTTTCTTATACATATGAATAAGTAAATAGTTAAGCCTCCCTATCCCGGCCTTTAGTTCTAAAATTTTTATTTCAGGTTGAAAGCTGAAAGATGGGTGCAGGATCAGGGTCGGGTCGGGGTAAATTCTCCGGCAAGAAATGTCGTCTTGTTTCCATGTTCGCGCTCACATCAGCATTCTTTCTGGTAGAAATAGTTACAGGTGATTAAATAGTATTGTGAATCTTCCGCGGTCAACTTCGCTACACAGTAGTAATCGTCTTCGTGTTTTCTTGAATTTGTTAACAATTATATACCAATGACTCTGTGGGGTATACCTAGATCCTTCAATTATTCAGTCAAAACTGACTGGTTGAAGAATAAGTTTGTATATTGTGCAGTACGGTCAATGTTTGTAAACAAAACCGGAACATAATATACAGCAAATCTAGGAAACAGAGGTGTTCAATTTTATTACATTATTTCATTAAATCAAACCAGATCGCGATACAAAAACTCGCGAATTTGTGACTTAAATAGTCTAAAATCTAAATACGTTTTTAAAATTAAAAAAAATAAAATTCGAAGATTCGAATATTATTATTATAGTGTAACATCTGTGAAACTGCTAAATCTAAAATAACAATTTATATCTATTTAGGTTACATAACCAACTCAATGGCCTTGGTGGCCGACAGTTTCCATATGCTCTCAGATATAGCTGCTCTAGTTATAGCTTTTCTTTCAGGTACAAAAGAACATGTATTTTATAATTATAAAAAATCCAAATTATTAATTTTCCAAAAAAGGTTGATTTTTGCATATTATTTGCATATCGGTAGTTTGCATATTGATAGGTCTTGATAAGGAGAAAAAAGAATATCAAGTTACACGTGTTTTTTTAAAGCTAAGTGAAATTTTTTAAAAAAATTAAATTTTTTTAATTGGAAATAATTTTAAAGAACTAAAAAATTGTCAAGAATATAATTAAAGATTATGAGAAGTCAACAAAGGACAAAGCAAAGAACTATTTCGACACCTTTCCCCCCCCCCCTGATATATTCCATTTTAGAGAGTAAAAAGTCTCGTTTAATATTTTATTCAATATATACATTATACATATATATTGTATGCGTTGTTTTTGTTTGATAAAACTTTAGACGCAAGTTTTATGGAAAATATAAAAAAAAAAAAAAAATTTGTCTGAAAATACAAAAATAGAATTGAGAGAATTTTTCCTAAAATAAACCTTGCATTCATATTTACCAGTGAAGCAAACAAACTAGAAACCTTTCATTCAACTGAAAAATCTTATCTATCAATATTGAAAACTCTATGTATCTTGTATATTTTAGAGTGTAGATTGTAGATGCCGATTTTTTTTAAGAATAATCTTGAAGAATTCTTTTTTTTTGTCTTTTTTGAAATTTGCAAAGATATCATTAAAAAAACTGCCACAACTTTCCCATTTCTAGTTATTATTTCTTTTAATATCTTTGAAGGGGCCATTAAGGTTTAAGAGATATTTTGGCACATTCTAACTATTTAGACAAACTTTATATTAATAAATTTTGTTCTCAGTACGAATGGCTCCCAAGTCCTGGAGCAAGAATACATTTGGTTGGGCTCGAGCTGAGGTTCTGGGAGCACTTGTCAATGCTGTGTTCCTGGTCGCACTCTGCTTCTCCATCACAGTGGAGTCCTTCAAAAGATTTTATGAACCAGAAGAGATTCATAATCCTCAGATGATATTGTAAGAAGACATTTTTGTATTTTTAGAAACAAAATTTTAGTTTAATGCAAAGGTTCTTTAAGTCTAATTATATGATTTCTAGGGTTGTTGATAGGATTTATGAAACTTTAAAATGACATTAGAAGTATTTTCGAGTGATCTTCCATGTGAAGATGACTTTTTCCAATTTTCAACGGTACCCTGAAAAGCTTTGCCTGATCAAAGATGAATGAGATATCAATGTTTATAATTTTTAAAAATTTAATATTTTCCATTGTGGTTTCTTTGACCAAGTGACATCTCTAGTACAGGAAAACATGAAGGAATTATCAGACTTAAACTCTTTTAGACCTATATATCTTCAACCGTATTGATCAGATCAAGTTTTAAGGGTACCGTTGTGAATAGGCATGCATTGCCATCCTTGAATGGAAGCTCACTTAAAATTACTCGTACTTACAGTCCCTTTAATAGAATGGCATGTACGGTTCACAACTGTACCCTTAAATGCAGTGCTTAGGGTTCATTTAATTTTGATGCGGATACGCATCCGGATCCAGGTTATTTCTTTAAAATTTACTGAATTTGGTTGAGGAACCATTCAGAAAACAGGAAATTTTTATAATTTCTCTTTTTTCAATAGTTAAGATTTGTGGTTTGAGAGTAAAAAAAAAATTGCAATTTTTTGGTTGATATTTTGGCCCTTGGATCCGAATCCGTGTATCTGGATAGTTTTGCGGATCATTTGTGGTTTTTCTTTTTAGTGATTTGCTGAATTCTGGTTTAGAAACAATGAAAGAAATTAAAGAAGCAATTAATCAGATAAAAGTATCTTTATGAATCGAACATGCTCAACTTTTTAAAGGTCACTTGAAATTATAAAGAACGTCCCGTTTATTTAATTATTTTTCCCAGTGTGTTTGGGCCTTTTGGGGTTGTAAATCTTTTTATTTATTTTTTATTTGTTAAATTAAACTTGTTATTGTCTAGGTATGTCGGAGCTATGGGATTGGCAGTTAACCTAATAGGACTATGCTTGTTTCATGAGCATGGGAGCAGTCATGGGCATAGTCATGGACTGAGCAGGTCGGTTTCTGTTTTTTACAAAATCAGTTTTATGCATCTACACTCTACAATCTTAAGAAATGTAAAAGTATTAAAATTATTAAGGGGTATATTCAAAAATTAAGTTAATAAATTTAGGAAATAAGCTTTTTCTTACAAGGACCGCTTCAATCTTTGGGAACAAAATTTTGAATTGGAATTGCTTATATATTATTTTACTTGTTTTTATTTACATCTTAATAAACAAATTTGTCGTTATAATGTCCAAAAATGAGATTGTAAACTGGAGAGAAAAATAACAAAAGTTCTTTAAAAAAGTTTATTCCTCTGAAAAAGAGTTGTGAATGAATACTCTCTAGAATGAGGGGGCAGAGCATATATTTAAGTATTTAATATCGGCGAGTAAAAAGTTTGTATACATATTTTGTTTTCAGATCCACTCACAGTCATCTCACAGACCTAGCGGACAGGGACGAAAAGGAGGAAATATCAGAGGTAGCACATTGAATTTTTGTTATTTTTTTCCATGGTTGTTTATTAGTTCTGAGACTTATATTTTTGCCACCCCCCTTTCGAATCATGTTCCCCTTTATTCCTTTCTCTTTCCCTTTTGTTATCCCTTTATTTTAGATTATGTAAAACTATCCCTTTATTCTAGATAATGTGTAAACTATCCCTTTATTCTAGATCATGTGTAAACTATCCCTTTATTCTAGATAATTTATAAAACTATCCCTTTATTCTAGATAATGTAAAACTATCCCTTTATTCTAGATATTGCGTAAACTATCCCTTTATTCTAGATAATTTATAAAACTATCCCTTTTATTCTAGATAATTTATAAAACTATCCCTTTATTTTAGATAATTTATAAAACTATCCCTTTATTCTAAATAATGTGTAAACTATCCATTAATTCTAGATAATGTGTAAACTATCCCTTTATTCTAAATAATGTGTAAACTATCCCTTTATTCTAGATAATGTGTAAACTATCACTTTATTCTAAATAATGTGTAAACTATCCCTTTATTCTAGATAATGTGTAAACTATCCCTTTATTCTAGATAATGTGTAAACTATCCCTTTATTCTAGATAATGTGTAAACTATCCATTAATTCTAGATAATGTGTAAACTATCTCTTTATTCTAGATAATGTGTAAACTATCCCTTTATTCTAGATAATGTGTAAACTATCACTTTATTCTAAATAATGTATAAACTATCCATTAATTCTAGATAATGTGTAAACTATCCCTTTATTCTAGATAATGTGTAAACTATCTCTTTATTCTAGATAATGTGTAAACTATCCCTTTATTCTAGATAATGTGTAAACTATCACTTTATTCTAAATAATGTGTAAACTATCCCTTTATTCTAGATAATGTGTAAACTATCCCTTTATTCTAGATAATGTGTAAACTATCCCTTTATTCTAGATAATCTATCCCCGAGCTGAACCTGTATCGCATGGACACAATCACGGGCATTCTCATTCCGCTAGTAATATGAATATGAGAGGAGTATTTCTTCATGTTATGGCAGATGCCCTAGGTTCAGTTGTCGTCATCATATCCGCTTTGGTCATGTGGCTGGTGAGTTTTAAACTGCTTTAATTTTTGTTAGACATTAGGTTGACCCAAATTACCCTTTAAAGAAAAATAGCACACCTGTAGGCCCCGGTGGTTCCATGAACATATAAGTTTTCCTAAGAAAAAACATTCAGCTGTCTAGGAAGCCATTCTACGTGTAAAAATGGAAATATTGCTGAATGTTCTTCTGCTGAATAAATATCTCTTGTTACACAGTACAAGTGTTATCACCAAACACCACATGACCTGCTACCTTATTGACCTCCTAGTTATTAACTATATTATATACCTGATCGACCCCTAGCTCAGATCTTTCTACCTGCTTGACCCTTATCTATGAACTGCTACCTGATTGACCAAATATCTACCTGATTGACCCACTACCTAAAAACTACTTCCTACTTAACCTTATTTTTATTTGTAGCTTATCCCACTAAAATAAATTCTTTTGTGGGGTGTTAGATAGTCTACATATCCCCCTGTAACCATTTGAGGCTGAATGCATGTTTAAATTAAAAAAGAGTAAAACTTACAAAGATTTGGGCTACCCTGTTAGACATGGTGAACAAAAAAACATATTGAAGTAAAAAAAAATATATTATACGTTATTAAAAATTTTTTTTTAACTTTTGATTTCAAGAGTAAAAGAATCATAACTAAAGTCTAAAAACTGCATTTGCTAAGGAGATACATAAATCTGAATTTGATTCGAATCGTTAACTGTGTAGACGGATTGGGAGTATAAGCTGTATGTGGATCCAGGACTCTCTCTTCTATTGGTCATTCTCATTCTTAGGTTTATATCTTTTTTTGTAATCTATCTTTATAATACTTCATTATTCTAGTTCATTTTTATAATATTACATTATTCTAGTCCATTAATTAACAATAATAATAATATTCCATCATTCGTTTAGTCCATTTTTATATGATTCCAGCAAAGGGGTAAATCATATCGCGAAAAAAAAATGCCGAAAATTTCGATTTTCGAATTTTGTTCGTTCGCAAAAAATGTGAAAATCGCTTTTTTTTCGCAAAATTTCGCTTTAATCTGTATCGCGAAAATTATTAATTGTGATATCATAACACTTCTAATACTGAACTCTCAGCGCAGAGAATTCCACAAGTTTTTTGCGGAAACATTTTCGTAAAAAGTACGCGAAAAAGTTTGCGAAATATGAACGCTAACTTTCGCATTTTTTTCGAAATTTTGTGTTCGCTGGAAACCCTAATGCCATTATTTTGTAATTTTCCATTTTTCGGGTGGTACATTTTTATAATATTACATTATTCGTATAGTCTATTTATATGTTATTACATTACAGTATTCGTGTAATCCATTTTTATAACATTCCATTATTTGTTTAGTACATTTTTATAACATTACATAATTCGTAAAATCTATTAATTGTAAGGTCCATTCTTTATGTTTTGCATAATTCCTTAATTCTTTTATTATTCCATATTTCTTGTTTTATGCAATTATTATTAATTCATTCACCAATTATTATTCCTATTTACTGGTAAAACTAGATAGTTGCTTTAAAACAACATCAATTACGAACAAGATTGTTTTAATATCATCTTCCTTCCGCAGATATATGGGTTGCCCTGTCTTGAAGATTATTTTTTATTATTTTTTCCCTTTTTTAGATCTGTTTGGCCTCTTCTCATAGATTCAGCGTTAATCCTCCTTCAGACAGTGCCAACCCATATCCAAGTAGATAATCTAGAGGTAATAATTATTATCATTTTTATGTTTCAATTTTGATTGAGTCGATATGACGTCATATCATCATGAAATTAGGAAAAATGGAAAAATGTATTAAAGAATGATTATTAATACGGTGAATACCTTCTTTCATACAAGAATTAAGAAGGTATTGTATAGAGGCAACTTAAACATAATTGTATAATAATATAATTCTTGTCAGGTTTTATGTAAGCAATCATATAAATATATATATAAAAATAAATAAGTATTATGCAACAATTTGATGTATTTATTTTTATTACCTGTAGAATCTTAAACATAACAGTCATTTTTTGAAGTTTTTTTTGTTGATTTAAGGCTTTTATAATGCTTTTCATTTATTTCACTTTAATCGAAAAGTTTTCTTTTTCGAACTTCTATATATTTTTCCTTTTTACACATTCTGCTGTTTTTTCTGATTTTTTTTTTCTGTATTCCCACATGTTGCTTAATTGCTTTACATATATATTTATAATAAATGGTTCAGATATTAAATTCATTGTATTCAACCCGTAGAATCATAATCAATAAAATCATCATTTTTTAAGTTTCGTGTGTTCAATTCTCTTTTAATTCACGTTTACAGAAAACTTTTATTTTTCGAACTTATAAATATTTTTACTTATCATACAAAAATTTGCCAAATTGCTGATTCTGGGGCCGAATTTAAAGAATTTGAGCCGCAGCTTAAATTTCAGACACGGCTCAAATATGGTTGGTTCCTCGTAAAATTGTAATCAATGTTTCAAGATTTAAGCTGGTGTTCAATTGAAACCGGTTTTTGGCGGATTTAAGACGCGGCTCAAAGTAGTTAAATTCGGACTCTGTTGTTCTGATTTTCTGTTTCCCAACGTTTTGCTAATTCAAAAATATTATAAAATCTCTCCCCCAGCCTTCTCTAGTTTATTAAAGAAGTAGATTTACAAAATTAGATTAGAAAAAGTTGGATAAAGACAAATTAACATGTCAATCAGCAAAAAAGGTTAGGAATTTAGAAATACCAAAAAAAATCTAGTATTTAAAATAATCAATGTCATTTGGTAAATTAAATATTAAAACTTTTGACAACCAATTTTATTTGTTCAATAATTTTTTTTTTTGGTTCATCTTTATTAGACTATAATCATTTTATCTGTTAAGGTCAAACAAATCAATTAAAATTAATGATGGAAACATGATCTTTAGTTTTCTCTTAAAAATTATTTTCTTAGTATTAAGTATTTTTAAATAATTGTTGTTTTTTCCTTAAACTTTTAGTGATTTAGGGTTGCTCCCAGGGTTTTCTTTTTTTTCATTATGGCATTATTTTGTAAAACTTAAACATTATCCAGGTTTTATATCCTTGATTGCCAAAAATACAAGTTTAGAAGTTCTACTCTGGATGGAATCTTATTTTCCCAATTTCACTTTAAAAAAGAATGATAAGTTTTTTAGTTCTTAATTTATTCATGGGTGGATTGTATAAATATTGGTTCATGTATTATTAATTGATGATGATTGGTTGGTTGGTTAGTTGGTTGGTTGGTTGGTTGGGTGTATATATTGATTAAATGATTGGTAGATTGATTATTTGGTTGCTTGGATAGAGGAAGCTAATAGAGCAGGTTGATGGTATCCATTGTTTGATGTCCTGATTGATAGATAAATTATTTATTGATTGATTTATTAATTTATTGATTGTTTGATTGTATAGAGGAAGCTGATGGAGCAGGTTGATGGTATCCTAGCTGTTCATGAGTTCCATGTCTGGCAGCTCACCGGGGACAGGATCATTGCATCCGCTCATATACGCTGTCTGAACCTAGTCCAGTACATGACGGTAAGCTCACTGATTGATTAATTGATTGATTGATTGATTGATTGATTGATTGATTGATTGTAAGATTGAGTGAATGATTGATTGGATGGCTGAATGATTGAATGGCTGACTGATTGATTGATGATTGATTGATTGGTTGGTTGGTTGGTTGGTTGGTTGATTGATTGATTGATTGATTGATTGATTGATTGATTGATTGATTGATTGATTGATTGATTGATTGGTGCACTGTAGACTGATAAATAAATAGACTGCAACGGATATGGACTGATTTATTGACTGGTTTATTGGTTGGAAATCCGTTTTTTTTTATTACTACGCTCTGCGTTGGTTATTTGATTGATAGAATAAATGGTTGATTAATTGATTGATTGATATTGATCAAGGTTGCGGAGAAGGTTAAAGAATTCTTCCATCACGAGGGTATCCACAGTACTACTATACAACCTGAGTTTGTAGAAACTGAACCTAACTCCTCTACTCTAGCTTCGTCAGATGATTGTGTTCTATCCTGTCCTAAGGTAAATAAATATTTCTCAATTCCGCACAATTTCGCGCAATATGAGAACAGTTGCGCTCAAATCCGCGCAAATTCCGATTGGAAACCCTACTTTACACTCCCTATAAACGCTGTAAACTAAGTATGATGTCTCATTTATATTTACCCTGAAATTTTGCAATCAAAACTTGAGGATAGAGAACAAAAGATCCAACAAGAAAATCTATCATGAATATACCCCTATTTCATTAAATGATGGGTTGTCTGCTAATAATAATAATAATAATAATAACAAACAATTGCATATTCTCCTGCTGTGTATCATTAATGTTTAGGGACCTATCACTCAGATATCTGGATGTGAAGCGAGTAAATGTTGTCCTCCACCTAAACTACCCCCTCCTCCAGGACCAGTTAACCCACCTAAATCTAGTTCTAGACAGGTAAACTTGATTAGGACCAATAAACCAGATTAGAACTTATACACCCACCTGAACCTAGTCCTAGACAGGTAAACTAGATTAGGAACTATAACCCACCTATACCTGGTTCTAGACAGGTAAACTAGATTTGGACCTATAAACCCACCTAACCCAAGTTCTAGACAGGTAAACCAGATTAGAACCTATAAACCAGATTAAGGACCTATAAACCCACCTATACCTGGTTCTAGACAGGTAAACCAGATTAGGACCTATAAACCCACCTATACCTGGTTCTAAACAGGTAAACCAGATTAGAACCTATAAACCAGATTAGGACCTATAAACCCACCTGTACCTGGTTCTTAACAGGTAAACCAGATTAGAACCTACTTAAATCTGGTTCTAGACAGGTAAACCAGAGAAAGTAGTAGTTCAACTAGTTTATCTGCTTCAACTACTTCTGTAAGAATCTTTATCAACCTTAGTGACGTAAAAAAAAATGTTTAAAGAACTAAAAAATTCCCATAGGGTTATTTTTTACTTTAACTACAGTGAGAACCGGAAAACTGTAATATGAAGACTACCTGTATACTCAACTTATGGTTTTATATGTAAAACTGTTTGCTTTGTAACAACACCAAATACACTTTTGCTTCAATATCGTCTTCCTATTCCGTTTTCTGGTTCTCGGAGTATATATTCTAAACGTAATTAAAATTGAACCATATTCATAATTATCTCACTCATGGTTTAAAACTGGGTTTTCTAAATGCAAAACCTTGAGAATTGTCTGGAGTTAGTCTATTTAACAATAATAATGCACGGAAAAACTGTATTTTTCGATATTTTATCTTTTCCCTCTATTTAGAGTAGTCCTGGTCCTGGTTCTGGTTCTGGAAGTAAGAAACGACGACCTTCATCCATATCTATAATTAAAGAAACTAATACAGGTTACAATCATTACTTACTGCGAGTAGAAAAGGAGTTTTGTGCTTTTTTACAAGATGAATTCCTGGAAGGATGGATTAGTGAAACGGGTTAAATGATTGATTGATTGTTGAATTTATGAATTGATGGATTGCTAAATTCTCTAGAATGATGAATCAAAGATAGAGTAATGTAGATTTACCTCCTGTAAAATTCATCCATCCAGAAATCCTCTGTAGATTTAAAAAAACATTTTCTCAAAAGGAGAGATTGAATAGTTGTATAGTTTTATAAATCGTAAATATTTTTAATACTATTTACTAATCTTATTATTTAGGCATTTTATTTTTATATTTGGTTACCGCACAATGTTTGTAGTAAGATATGTATAAGTAGAAGTAAGCTAGATAACATATTATTATGATTCAAAATATTTACCAAGACATCGAGAGAAAAAAACTATTTTAATACGCATGTTAAGTGTCAGCTAATGAGAATTCTCTTTCTAATCATTGAATGAAAAATAAAGTTATTCAAAAGAATTGCCGGAAAGCAGAAAATTTAGAAAAATATTTATCGGTGAAAGGAAAACTATAAAGAAATATTTGTGAGCGGGATCTGAATTCTGGTCCATTTTTACATGGATTCCTCATGAACAGGATTCCCTTGAAAATGAAATGGATCCTAAGCACTAGCTAAAGAAAAGAACTCCCTTCAACCTTGGTTTTATTTCCTATATTCTCTTCTTTTCTTTTATCTCCACTCTCAACCATTAAGGAATTCTTCTCAAGTTCTAATATTATGGGCCAGGGGGAAGGGAATGAAATAAATTCCATTTTCAACTTTATAATATCAAAAACGATTTATTTTGCATAAACATTTTCAGAAATATTTTACCCAATGTTTTTTTTGACAATATTTTTTTCAAGGTTTTTACAAAAGATAAGTACAAAATTGTACAAAACTATTTTAATAGTTTATTACAGTATTCCAATTTTTTCCACTTTAGAATTCTTGGGGCCCCGGGACCCTCCTTCCTGGGGGGGGGGGAGGGGATCCCAGGAGCCCGAATTTTTGATATTTTCAAAATAATTGGTATTCGAAATTGTCTGTACATTCTTCTTGTCTATTCATTGGTTATGAATATTGCTAATCTCTGCTTCTTTTTGCAAGGAAGTTCAGCTAATCATATGTTTCTAAATTAAATATCTCAATATATATCTAAGTTACATCTTCTTTTTCATCATTTTTTAGAAATAGTTTATTACAATTTCCTAATTGATAATAATTCGTTAAGGTTTAAGGGGATTAGTAGAATCTCCTAACAGAAGATCAGCACCTAACCTATGGTATTCTTTTTTATCATTAAATTAGAAATAAACGTTTATAAATAAATGAATGAAAGAGGAATAAAAATATCCAAATATTGATAATTAAATGAATGAGTGAACAAAATAATCAGGATGGAAAAAAATTTATGAATTGATAAATAAGATTTCAATAAAATGAGTTGGGACATTAACTAGAAAGACATTTCACATTTAGAAATTTCTATGAAATGTTCTTCTATGAAATGTCCTATTGTCCCATCTAATAAATGTCCCTGAATGCCAATTAATTACTTAGTGAATTAATTAATGAATGAATTAATATTAAGTTAAAGGCAAATGGTTTAATGAGTTAATATAGGATTAAGTGAAAAACTACTAAAATGAGTGAATGAGTGAAAGGATGAATGAATGAATGAATGAATGAAAAAATGAATGTTTTAGTTTGAATGATGGTAATGATGGTAGTCCTGAGAACAGCTGTGTAGAGATGACTGCTGAGCTAAACCTATCTGATGAGACCCAACCTAGCAGCAATAATTCTTCATTCAGACAGGTAGCAAGTATTCATATATATTATACAACAGACACTAAATATAAAGACCAACAAATCCTTTTTACGTTATTTCAAGTGACACTAAATTAAACAAAGCGTTACACGCTCGATTCACAACGGTACCCATTAGCCAATTCTTTATTTAGACTCGGGATTATATCGTCTTTGTCTGTCTTTTAAAAAATTTTGTTGGAATAATATGCAAAACATTTAGATAAATTGAAACCACAAAAGTAAATTACCAATTTTCAGATAAAAAAACAAGGGTCATTTTTGCTAAGATGAATGTCTGATTGGTACCATCGAGAATGTGAATCGAACCTTTAACTCTATGTATAAAGAGGGTTGGATTAATAAGGCCCAAGACTAGCCCCCCCCCCCCATTACTGATTAATTACTGTATTTAGTATCTTCTATAGTAAGAAAAAATATAAAATTAAAGGGACTGTTATTGTAATTTCGAGTGACCGTCCAAGCAAAGATGGCACTGCCCGATTTACAACGGTATCCTTGAAAACTCAAGATGATCAAAAATATGGAAGTAACCGTTGGTTTCCTGTTTTGAAAACTGTTTATTTCTAAGAGTTTCTCCGTCGCTTTTTATAAACAAGGAATGCGCAAGTTTCTTTTGCAGAGAAACCGCAAATGAAAAAAAACAATTTAAGGAAACACAACATTGATATCAAATTCATACTTGCTCAGAAAAAGCTTTCAAGGTTACCGTTGTACCGTTGTACCGTTGCCAATTTATTTGGCATTGTTGTCTTTGCACGGAGGGTCACTTGAAATTATGCTTACATTCACTTTAATATAAGTACACACGGGTTCCATATAATTCCATCCAATCCGATTCTAAATGCGGGATAACAATTTTTTTTGTAATCAATTGGAATTATGTCATGTTGTTAAAAAATTGCATTCTGCAGAATGTATACTGCAAGAGAGTGTTTATTTTTTTGTTTATCATATTTTATTTTTATATTGATTACGGATATTTACATCTTTTAACACCCCAAATTCAGAACACGTATATAAAATTTAGTACCGTACATAAAAAAAATTGTACTTTCATGCCCAATCCCATTGGGATTAGAGATAGAATACTATGGACCCCTGGTATCAGGACACTATAATAGCAAACCCAGAATTGTACAATGTACATGTGTACAATCTTATATACATGATTGTAAATTCAGGAATGAATCATTTAAAACGGAAAACTTTCCCGTTTTTTCATTTCTTTAACAGGGGACATTTTTTTCATTCGAAAAGTTTACATTTGGTATGAAAATCAAACTTTTTACAGATTACAATACTGGGTTTACTCTGCTCGTTACCATTTAAGTATAATTTTCAAAATTAAACTAATTTCTCCTTAAAGTGCTCTGTAAAATGATTTTTGTAAGGTTGCTTGTAAAACTATATTTTCTAAACTTGGCACACAAAAACAGAGTAAAAAAATACGGGATACGGGGTGTTGTACACAACATCATTTAATGTTTTCAGGGTTCAAGTTTTGTGTTGTAAAGATTTAAATTGAGTGAACAAAATACTAAAGATTAAAATAAAATTAATATTTCCCTCCGAATTCTTAGTAAAGTTTAGTTTTCCACATATAAGTTGTTTCGCTTTTTTTCCAAGTACCAATAAATTTTTTTGTTGATAAAATTTAAAATATTTTTAAACAAAAACATGAATCATGAAAAAAATATCTTTAATGTTGTGCCATACCACTTAAATCCCAGATTTTTATAACCCTGTAGATGTAAATCTATGTACTTGGTTAATGTTAATCACTGAAAAGCGTAAAATATATTTGCATGTCACTATTTTAAATTCGATGTTTTTTTCTTTCTAAATTTTTCAACAGGTCAATGAGAATCTTGTCTTTAGATATCATTCTTTTCAACAATATCGTCCCATATCAATTTGAACAGTGTAAGCTGAAATATTTTAATGATAGAATTAGTTTCTTGATCTTTTTGGCACAAATGTTAGATCAGATAAAGAATTCAGAACTGTGCTTTCAACATTTAATAGAAAGTTATGCTTCTAATAATTTAGGAATTATCTGGCTCTTCCTTCTTTTTTATCCTCATCTTTTAATGTTTCTATTTTTCAGATCTATCATGATTAACCTCAATAAAGTTAAGATTTTGAAAAGTGATATAATTCTTTTGTTTAAGAACATCCCCCTTAATGTATGTTCATTGTTCATTTGAATTCACCAAATGAAGAATATAAAAATCCATCAAATTTTTATTATTAACAGTAAGTGCATGCATGTCATTTATAAAATAATGTATTATGGTAGAATATGCATGAATCTGGTGGAATTCAATAGTTCTAGAATTATATTTGCTTAGAACCAAACCTACAGGTGAAAGATAACTTTTAGAAATTCAGGCAGTGCTTAGGATCCGTTGGTTTCGCAACATATATTCTTAAAAATATTTTAATCTTTAAAAAAAGATTCATCAAGTTTTAACATAAAAATACGCGATAGTAAGAAAGTTAAATTAATTTTTTTTATAATTGCTCAAAAAAATCAGTAAATCTTGAAGAAATGCACATGACCTGAATTTTGATGATTTTTTTTTCAAAATGGATCCTAGGCACCGATTTCAGAGGTATATATTTTTCGGAAATGCAATTTCGTGTTTTGGGATCAGTCATTATTTTTGAGAAGAAATGTCTGTTTCAAAAAACTTTTCAATCTTTACCCAATGACATGCCTACCTTAGAAGTGAAAAATATACCCCCCCCCCCCTTTAGTTAAAGCTGGGCTTAGTTTATCCGTTTCTGAATGGTTTTCAAGATGCCCCTAAAAATCTGTGAAGTTGGCAAATTTAGAAAATGTTTGTCTTTTTTTCCTCCACTTAAAAAAATATTTAATTGAACAGATTTTGCGGATTTTTGTTGAGTCCACTAAACTGCACAGGTCAAAAATCCTTGAATGTTTTTAAGAAACGGATCTAATGGCTAATTGGTTCCCAGCCATGCTTGTTTATATGATTTAATAATCTACTTAACGCATCTTCAAATTACTAATACGATTATTTGTGTATTGCAGTACGTTACTGCTCCCCCGTTCCTGAACTCCAGATCTACTCATGGAACTATATTGAGCACTCCGGGGAATTCCCAACCAACATTATTCAGTAATCCGGGAACTCCTGGATCTAAAACTCCGGGATCCAGGTTTAGAACTACTCCTATTCCCGGCTCAACATTCTGCTCTACACCTTCCAAACCAAACTATTCCGCTAGTCGTTCATTCACACCTTCTACATCATCATCATCAGGTCGTCGGGCCTCAAGAGCTGAGCAGGGAGGCTCTGCTCGACGATCTTCCCGTCCCGGTGAGAATAATTCTTTAACGCGACGTGATTCCTCTTTACAACGTGAATCCTCTTCACGACGTGAATCTTCAGCGCGGCGAGAATCTTCTTCCCAGCTTTTATCGCGCGAATTTGAACAAAGTTCCAGACGTACTTCGCGAGTTGTCGATTTCGAAGCTGAGCAGCCATCGCGAAGAACCTCGCGAGATTCTAGTTCATTAGGACGAAAAACTTCGCGAGATTCCAGCTCATTAACACGGAGAGCATCGCGAGATCAGGGTTCAGTGTCGCGACGTTCGTCCCGAATCGGCGAGTCTGGTTTATCGCCAAACAATCCCGTGTTTTCCCATAACAACCCTGCTTTCTCGCCTAACAACTCGGGAGTTTCGTCAAACAATCCCGTGTTGTCGCCAAACAACCCTGCTTTTTCGCCGAACACTCAGGCCCCTAGTTCCCGAAGCAGTGCTGAACCAGCGAGCACTAGCGAGAGCCTTGATCTTGACTCTGAAGAGAATACGCCCATGGTTCCTAGAACTAGGACGGTTAGACTTATATCAAAACAATCTAATGTTTAATCCTCAACAAGAAATATCCCAAAAACATAATTAAATTTCCGGTGTTTAGTCTTAAAGCTTGACCATTTAAACCTTAAAAAATGTTTCCTGATAGACATTGCCCTTTTTTACTACCTGAATTTAATTGAATGCTTTAGGTCAGAAAAAGGCAAATGACCAATAAAGGATATTAGTTGATTTCAAACTGGTTTACACACAAAAGAGTAATTAATTCGCTCCGGGAAGGGAATTTAAATCGACAAAACATAGACCTGTCAGAGGTAGTCTTTCTGAACCTACGCATTTCTGTCAGGTTCCTTCTTAATTTTATACTTTCGTCATAATTTCTTATAGTTAATAATTCCTTAGCAAACTAATTTTAGTTTAGTATATCAATTTGCTATGTTTCGTTCTGTATCATGTAAAATGTAAATAGTACGTAAAATGAAAAAAATTATGAAAGTTTATGGAAAGATTTAAAAACAAATAATTAAGAAATGTATTCTGAATTTATCCAAGAATTTATAAATAGTATATACAAACTAATAAGTAGAATTCATCAATCAAACTCATTTTAGAGCGCAGAACTTTTTATTTAGAAAAAAAAACATTCTTTTGGATTTCTTAAACCAGTTTTCCTAATTGTACATTGTTTATTCCTAAAAACATCCAAAATCAGATAAATGTCAGATAATATTTAAACGAAAAATACCAGTTCTTAGAATTTTGCAGTAAAAATATATTTTGTGATTAAACTCCGTGGACTCATGGCATAGTTAAATATAACTGAAAATTTTAGTGCTGAACATAAAAAATAGTTTATTGTAAAGAAATTATTAAAGTTAAAAAAAAAAATCGAAGTAACTTCACTTTTATAGTAAATCTGTCAAATTTATTTCATCAGAATTATTTTATCATCATTAATCATTAACAAAAACATGAAATTTTTTATTTTACTTCGAATTTTATTTGACCTGTTTGACTCTTTATAAATACCTTAAAATATGAAATACTGTTACGTACTTATTTACCTATGTATTTATGTCCATACAAGTCATTATTTTGTTAATCATTTTGTTATTTTTAAAAATTCAATAAATGTTGATGATTTCCCAAAATAAACTTTATATAAAATATGTTTGGAAGTTTTTTGTTCCGTTGTTTATTGCGCTTCGTTTTTTATGGTTTTATTTTGAATATTTTTTCTCAGCAAACCATTTAGAAAATTGAATAAATCTTGTGAGATCCAATAAACCCCTAAGTCCAATTTCTTGCAGTTCGGATGTTGAGTGGGTACCTGTTATACAGAACTACCCACTAAGGATGAGACTTCAGCAGGGGCTGATACAGAATTTAGTGAGGTGGGGGCAAGATTTTTTAAGGAACAAATAAATTCATAATTAGGATAAAAAATCGCGCCGCAGGTTAAAATTTTTTTTAGACTTAAAAGACTCAAAAAGAGTCAAAATTAAGGACTTAAGACTAAAAAACTAGACTTTTAACTTTCAACACATTATAGTTTATTAAGACAGATATTTTTCCTGTTTTGCACTAGGGTTTCTTTCCCTTAAGCATGCTATTGAGAAGCTATTCTGAAAATCTCAGAGGGGCGAATGTCCCCCGCCCCCTGTATCCGCTCCTGGACTTCATAGACGACTGAAGTGAATTTATTCATTCTTCTTTTATGTACATGGCTAGTTTCCAAGGGCTTTAAACGTTTTGAGTTCTTATGCAAATTATTCAATGCACTCATTAAAGATTATAATCGAGGTAGAAGACAAAATCTAACCTTTAGATCTTCAGAACTAAACAATTTCAGGTCGTCATTGAAGTCTCATCCTTTGTGGATAACCCTGTATGTATTTATTTCCCCGAAATAGATAATAGAGTTCAATAGGTGACAAATAGAATTCAGTCAAGGATTTCAAAATAAAGAACAAATAAAATTGCACAAATTCCTCTAAGTTAAAGACTTAAAGGGACTGTAAGCGTAATTTCAGGTAACCTTCCATACAAAGATGGCAATTCCCGATTTCCATATTCTTTATCAGATAAAGAATGCTGTTGTAAATCTGCACTTGCTAACTTTGCATGGAGGGTCACCCTCACTTACAATTACGCTTACAGTGTCTTTAAGTCTAAAATTATAATTATCTAAATAATAATTTACAATTTTGTCTGAAACTGAAAACCGAATTGTCACCAGTGATGTATATACACTACAGCTGATCTGTTTGAAACGAATTCTAATTGCCACCTATTATACGAATAATCTTTCTGTATTTTCACAATCTTTTCACGATGCAAGACGACCTCATGGAACATCGGTTAAACAAAAATATTTCATCTTTTCAACATGTTCAAACCAGGCCCGTAGCTCGGGGGGGGAGGGGTCAGGTGAACCCCCATTTCTTCATAAAGGAGGGTGCAACGATCCAATATATATGCACCCCCACCCACCCCACAGTAAGTTACTTTGTATAATCTTCTCTCGGAGAATTAAGATAAATTATCATTTATAATTTTCAGAAATTATGTATTTAGCTCCCAATACAGTTAGTTACTCAAGCTGTACCTTCAGTACTATCAAATAAAAACATTTTTGAATAATCTTGTAAGACTTTCTGATCGAGTAGCTAGAAGTGGTTAAACTAAGCAGTAAGCATGGCTGTTTAAATACGCATTCAAATTCCTTAACTTTTGCAGAATCTTATTGCCTCATTTTTTGTTTAAACATACTGCAATTGTATAGAGTGAACAGAAGTCTTAAAACGGTTAATTTCAAAACGGGTTTCTTAGTTTTACTAAAAACTAATCCAACTTTAGATCTATGCACGTTGCATATAAAAATTCAACCGAAAATGAGAAGTAATATTAAAATTATCAACATTCATTGTCATCAAATATAGAAAAAGTTTAGGTTAAAAACTTTAATTTTTCTGTTTACTATACAAAACATCAAATTCACTGGTATTAAAATGGTTTTGAGTACTATTATTAAGAATTTTCACTTTAACATTAATTTAATTTAATTTAACATTACTAAGATTTAATCTAATTTAAACTTGCTAGTTTTGATGCCCAAGTTACAACAATCTTCCAAACTGGATCCAATACTACATACTCTTTGAACCCCCTTTTGAAAATCCCGTTGGGATTTGGGGCTCAAAAGCCACCTGGAAACCATAGATTTCACTGATCTAGGTGGGGGGGGGGGGCTCTCTCTCACTTCTTACCTCCCAAGAAAAGTAAAAAAATTTACAATTGCGTAATCTGAAACATAATTTGATCATAAACATAATTCAAATATTTTCACCATTTATTCATCATTTTTCTGAGCTGGGAACTTTTAAATAGTGGATATCGGGAATAATGCTTGATCCTCTCTTTTTCTTAATCTCGAGATTAAGGATCGGGATTAAGGATATCGCATTCTAAAGTTTTCAGCTCTGAACATTTTAAAATCGAATTAACAAAAAGCTATAAAGTCTTTTAAGGTAAACAGCGTATACTCACATATTCACTTTCATCATTTTAAATATCAATAAGCAAGTTTCAGAAAAAAATTTTAGTTTTTTATTTGACACTATTGAAGTTTTCTCCATGGAAGACTTATTTCAGAGTTTTCACTACGCTGAGTCTTATGCATTGATCTTTCAGAAGGAAATTTCTGAAATAAAATTTACTTAATTAAAATAAAATGGTAAAGATTATATTTTGTTTACCTGAAGGTTCCGAAATAAGGGCAGAGTATGTTGGTGAAAATCCAGGAGAAGCGGCTTTGCTTTTGCTCAGGATCATTTACGATTAGTAACCTACATCATCATCATCATCATCATCATCATCATCATCATCGTCGAAGTCGTCATCGTCGTCTATCATCCATCATCATTATCAACCATTATAGTTATCATTATCATCATCAACATCATTATCATCATTATCATTATCATTATCATTATCATTATCATTATCATTATCATTATCATTATCATTATCATTATCATTATCATTATAATTATCATTATCATTATCATTATTATTATCAACATCATTATCATTTTCATCATTATCATCATTATCATTATCATTATTAACATCATTATCATTATCAACATCATTATCATTATCATTATCATTATCAACATCATTATCCTTATTATTATCATCATCAACATCATAATCACATCATCATCTGACCTAGTAGAATGGTGGCTAGTGAGTGCTATGGATAAAGCTGGAACTTGTTTTTCTACAATACTAAGAATCTGGATATTGTTCATATTGAAGGAACACTTCTCTGCAAACCTGGAAAAATGTCTGTTCTTTCATCTATATAAATGAAGTACGTAAAGTAGTTTGTATGGATGTCCGATCATAACTCATGAAGCCCAGATTTGCATCAAGTGAACTCGGTAGAATTGTTTTTAAATTCCAAGTTGAGATGGTTGACTTTCATAGAGAAATCAGAGTTTCCAGACAAAGTCGGGTTTCCAATCTTGTGAGTAATTCATTATAAAGAGCCAGTTGTTCAAATAATAACCTGAAACCCAATTGATTAAAAGAAAACCTTTCTCCACAAACCATACAAATTATTATATTCAAATAATAAGGAGGCACTAAGGAGGATGCTCTAATAATAAGGATGCCCTAATAATAAGGACGCTCTAATGAGGATGCTCTAATAATAAGGATGCTCTACTATTAAGGACGTACTAATGAGGATTCACTAATAATAAGACGCTTCGTTATTGTACAACACTAGCTTGGGAACCCAGCGTTGCCCAGGGGAGTAATACCCATTTTACCCATTTTTAGCCTTTTTTCTAAAATACTTATTTGTTGGCATATACGCTTTGAATGAAAAAATATTAAATAAACACATCCGTAAGTTTAAAGATGATTGAAATAAAAACAAAAACAAGTTTAATTTCAAATAAAAGTAACCGAATAGTTAGTCCGGGGTGCGATCCTAGTCGTAAATTATGATTTTAGCTATGTTTTCCGTTAACAGTAAAAGCAATCAACTTAAATTAAAAACCAAACTAATAACAATCCCGTGGGTTTCCCAAGTTTCCTAATCAAAGGAAGCAAATCGGTCCAGTGGTTCCCAGGTTATAATTGGATAGACAAACAGAGATAACAACTTTATATGTATAGATTACTGATAAGACTTTGTGAGCTCGTAGCTCCTCCAGTCTTGATTATCATGAGAAAAGCAAATCTATCCATGGCGTAAATGTTAGAAATAAAAAAAAATTTTGTTTTTCCCAATAGCTTCTTGATAAAATGTGTTCAAATTGAGACATATACAGGGTGACCCAAAAATCAAGGAATTTTGAAATGACTCGAAAATGTGCTAAACAAAACCATTAAACGACAAAATATTACTTTAAAGACCCCTTTCAAAATTAAAAACGACAAACTATAGCGCACTCTTTTCAGTCATTAGAAAAGATTATTAAAGGCTTAAAAACGCTAATCCCTGTTTTATAGGTCACCCTGTAAGATTCCAATGTTGCGGGAAATTTACTTTAGTTTAGCGTGACTGACCTGTAAAGAACCATTCTATACTCCTCGGCATTCTTATTTTCTGATGGACGAACCTTGAAATATACAGAGTTACTAATACCCGTAACTAAAACAACATAAAAATGTTTAACTCTAATGTAATAAAATATTCCCAAAATCTCGTATTTTGTCCTCTTTATAATGATTTTAAGATATTATTTTTTTTGCATATTTTAGAAATATTGTTAAATATTGCAACTAACCTCTAGTTTGAGTAGGAAACTAACCTCTAGTTTGATAGGAAACTAACCTCTAGTTTGAGTAGGAAACTAACCTCTAGTTTGAGTAGGAAACTAACCTCTAGTTTGAGTAGGAAACTAACCTCTAGTTTGAGTAGGAAACTAACCTCTAGTTTGAGTAGGAAACTAACCTCTAGTTTGAGTAGGAAACTAACCTCTAGTTTGAGTAGGAAACTAACCTCTAGTTTGAGTAGGAAACTAACCTCTAGTTTGAGTAGTAGGAAACTAACCTCTAGTTAGAGTAGGAAACTAACCTCTAGTTTGAGCAGGGCAACAAACTCTGAGTTCTCATCTAACAGTTTCTCCAGCTGAAGATAGTTTTCCTGGGAGAAATTATTAAACTTTTTTATGGTTATTGCTTAAAGACACTGTAGACGAAATTTTAAGTAGCACTTAATTCAAAGTGTACACTGTACATATCTAACGGCTCCATGTAACCCCCTTTTTCTGATCAAAATTGATAAAATATCCCTTGTTTTTAGATAGTGATTGCGGATTTATGCTGCAGCTAACAAATAAAGGAAATTTCGGAATTCTACACTTAAGAGTGTACTATTGAGAATCGTTAAATGGAGGGGCACTAAAATGTTGTCATAAAGTCCCTTTATTTTTATATATCTACAATTGTACCGTTCGTACTTTATTGAAAAATAAGGTTAATTGTACTTCTAAGAAAAATTGTGCAATATTCATACGTTAAGATTAATGTTAGCAGGGGAATTGTAAGGTTGCAAGTTTTTCTACCTTCAAAGTTGAGAATTCAGTTTTTTTGGTTCACATTTAAATTCATCAGATATATAAGATCAAAATTGACAAAATCTTTGGAGATACTTAAAGTTAAAAACACATTTTGGAAAAACTCATTTTATAGATGAAGCATTTTGAACACTCTTTGACATTGTGCATTGCAAATTCATACTGCTGAATATTTCTGCAAGTAACTTTAATAAAGAAACGAAAGTTAAAAACAAGGACATCTCCATCCATATACTCAGACAAAGGTTTAAAAGGTATCAGTGTGAATTGCAGGCACCTAAATCTTAAGATAGAAGGTTAGTAGAAATTGTACCGATTTGTCAGGAAAATAATAAAATCTCAAGTTTCTTGGACACCCTGTACATTGTATACTGACATGGAGTCTGATTGTCGAACTGACCGACTAGAGACTGACTAGAGATGAGCATAGGTCATCAGGAATTAAAAACGATAATTTTGTTTACTAAACGAACTAAACAAACGAATTTTCCAAAAGACTTGATAAAGCTCTCTTTTATTACTGAACGAACTATTTTAATGAACGAACAATTTTAGTGTTCAATCCTTCAGTGAAAAAAGGAACGAAATAGATGGAAAATTAACGATAATTTTGAGAACGAACAAAATCAATTTTTCTTTCAACGATTGAAAAAAAACGAACGAAGTGGAAAAAAAGTTGAATCTGTTCTGTTCGACTGACAGTTACCTGAGGTTCATCAAACCAATCCTCCGGCATAAACTGGTGTTCATACTTGACCGCGTTAATACTGTAGAACTGCAACCTCACCTCCGGAACAGCAACCTCCAGTCTCTTCAGCATCTCCTGGAGGACAATTAACTCAATAATTTCAGCCTAGTATATCAAGCGTTGAAAAAATCTTGCGAACTCTCTGACAAAATTTGATTGAAAACAACAAATGCAAGATGGCGGGTAATTCACATCTCTTTTAATTCAACCGATGGCGATCGCAAGTCCAACCAACCAAGAGAACATACTCTCTTGCTTCAATTAAATACGCCTTGTGGAGAGTACTTTCATTTCTTAAAATCTGAAAATATTGTTTCTACATTTTCTGTGTATGAAAACTAACATATTACATATAAATGATTACAGGAAATTTGTAATTGGAAAATCTTGTAAAAAGTATAAATCAAGTTATTTTCCATACAAATATTAATAGATAGATAGTAAGATAAATAGATAAATAGAAAGATAGATAGATAGATAGATATATAGATAGATAGATAGTAAGATAGATACGTGAAACGGATTTTGGTTTACATTTTATATGGATAGATAGATAGATAGATAGATGGATGGATAGATGGATAGATAGATAGATAGATAGATAGATAGATAGAAAAATTTACCTTAGCCTCCTCCCTTGAAATGGTGTGATGAGGTCTGTTCTTTACGTTAAAGTACACAGCGATAAAGCAGAATATGGCGTTCACCAAACTACAACAGGTATAGTTTTGGAAATTTTCATAAAGGGAGTGACAGGCTAGACATCGTAGTTGAGCTAAGAGTGCAGTATTATAGAGAATCTTTTTTGTTTTTAGGATTCACTTGATATCTATCAGACGTTCATAAATCCTTATAAATTTGTCTACAATACTAGGAACAATAATATTTATATGGGAAACTTTGAATTCTTCTGAGGCCCAAGGATAAAATAAATGAATTACTGGTATTTTTAGTTCTGATTCCATTCTGGGCGAGGACGGTTTCAACTTCTATAAAAAGGTAGTGATGGGCATGTTTGGATTTTTTCA